GTGACCGCCAGTCCAGAATACCACAGTTCAGCCAGTTGTTCTGAGTGCAAGCCATTTTTTCACCCATACAGGAGCTCAAGTGAGGACTCGACATTTTATTCAGTAGAGACTTTTTTTTTTTTTTTACCCTATGAATCATGTTATTTTTTGCACATATGTATGTGAAGCATTGTATTTTTTTTCTACTCTGAAGTCATGCCTCTGCTGGCTGTTACAGTCACCAGTCACATTCACACCAAGGAGACAATGAGGCAGTCTCCTCTGCCTTGTTCCAACCTGCTTTACTCTGTTATTGTTGAATGTCTTCATTTGTTAGTTTATCTGCCAGGAAGTCTGCACAATCAGAGGACAAAAATCTGAGCCACTTTCACAAGCTTTTCCTTGACTGACCAGTTTACCTGATGCCATTTAATGTCTGGATGACCTTGCTGATAGACACTAAAACAAACTAAAGTTTGTTGTATGCTGAAATGTTTTGGCTTAGCTTCAGTTTTTGTACTTTAAAAAAAACTAGTTCTGGGAGCTTTATTTAACATACGGCAGTTTGCATTTATTTTTTCTAATATACCAGTTATTTTTTCTGGCAGTTATAACTTGTAACAGTTCTCATTTAATTCTGAACCTTTTCTTTTACTAAAAATAGGCTGCCAGGTTGAAACAAAATGAAAAAACTTGATTCACTTTTAGAGTAAATACAAGTCAGTATACCCCAGTGCAGGCAACTAAGCTGTACATATTCTGCCACTCTTCTTGTCAGGGTCCCAACCACAAACTGGAGAGCAGCATTCAGGAATCTACAGACTCTCTGTCAATCTTGGCCAAAGTGAATGCACCCATCGAGGAAAGCCTTACTACATTGCTTGTACAAAGACAAACAGAGCCAGAGCAACAACAGCAACAGCAGCAGCAGCAGCAGCAGCAACAACAACAACAACAACAACAGATCACAGGGCATCACCAGTCTGCACTGATCCTTCTTCCAGCTGAAATCTCTTCCCCCTCCTCCTCTTCCTCCTCCACCCCACCTCCTTCTGATTCCAACCTCAGCACCACTGGACTCTATAGACCTGTCTCAGACCCAGCGTTTCCAAGGACATAAACCTTTCAGCGACACAGCGTTGTAATTGAAATTGCTAAGTAGCAAATTTTTATCAGCATGCTGGTACAGATATCTATATTGTTAATTTGCAATGCCTTGGTAATATGAAAAGATGTTTTTTATTCATTATGCATGTGATAAAACACTGTTCTCTGCAGTTAACAGTGTATTAACAAAGTGTTTTCTGCAGTTATCGGTATAATAATGGTTACATACTGTAACAGTGGTTCTATCAAAACAAGATGGAGTCCTCTGATTGAATAAGTGTCATCAATCATTTTCTTACTGACATGCATGTAGATGCCCAAGCAACCAGGATAAGGACAATACTTTCTCAGTCATTAAATTCTACTTGATTGACAGGGATGGTGGTTAAAAGGCTCCACCTGGTTGTGATAGAACTAGTATTTTTCATCCAGGCTTTGTACACTAATGGCTCTCTACTCCATCCTGTGATTCTGCTGCAACATTTCTCGACACATAATTGGTCACACAGGAGTGGGCCACCCGTCTAGTCAGGCAGAATGAACACTACATGAACTACTGTTGCGAAACTGGTCTCCGTGTGTACACTGTCAGATACGAGTACCAGTGCATATGTCTGTCTACATTCACAGACCTAAAAAAGGCCTGATGACCTAGACCATCAGAGAGATGTCTCTCCATCGTTACTTACAAAGCAAGAAGAGCTGACTGACCTACCTCACACTAGCTGGGTGCTAACAACCAGCACTCCAGGGCATCGCATCACGTCGCTTTCTTCCTGGTGTCAGCTGCAGAGCCAGTGTAAGACTGACTCCAGAGTGCTCGGTCCATAGTCTCTACAGCTCACCAGTTTGTGCAGCACATGGAAGATGGCCAACCCAACCAAGATGTGCGCCCTGTGCACAGTATGACTCAAGCCAGCTGCCCCTCAATACCCTCAGCTAAGGCATCTGTGGGTGCTGAACATGCAAGGATCCATGGAGAGACCATAAACAGGGATTCATGGTACAGGCAGGCACTTAAAAACACATCCTTTCTGTTTGAACAGAAGGTGAGAGTATCAGCAGCACCACACAGAAGGTCTTGCAACATTTTCTTAAGTACTGAGGGCATGTCAAGAGACACACAAAAGTAGAACTGATGGGCAAGGCTACAATTGGAAGTCATACTGCATACCTTTTATCACTACTTCTGCACAAAAGTATTAATAGTGGTTGATAGACTTGTGAAATGCATTTTGCATAGCTAGCAGCAATCATCTCATTGGACAGGAATTTGCCAGTAACACTGTCAAGCCTTTTCCCACCCTTTTATGCCTGTTATAAGAGGAGGGAAAGGTCATCTCTCCAGAGGCTGAGTTTCAACAGAAGGAGGCTATTGTACCACTCACTATAAAGCAATTGATCGCTCAGTGTTCTTTCTATGCTTCAGAGTAACAGGCAAGTAGAGATGGAGGCAGCGTCTAAAGATTGTATATACTGGCTGGAGGTGGCCCATAGCTCTCAATAAGGTAGGGTGGCAGCTGGTTGGCATTGACTTATTTGTTCAGGCAGTTAACCTGTGTAGTCTATAACTGGGAAACAAGAATGTGACCTAATGTTAACTGAATTCTGCACTGCTTTGTGTCCTTATTACCATTGTGCATGAATGAATAGCCAGCCTAAAGCATGAAGTTCCACTTGATATTTTTGTAAGCCCTGTGACAGACTGGCAACCTGTCCAGGGTGTTCCCCACCTCTCACCCAGTGTCAGCTGGGATTGGCTCCAGCCCCCCCATGACCCTCTTCAGGATAAGCGGTATAGATAATGGATGGATGGACATTATTTCATAGCATTGGAAACTGTGGCCCTGACCGGGCTGTAGGTGGTGAATTTCCTCCACTGCGACAAAGGGTCTTACCTCATACTGGCCACATGGACACCCTCCAGAGTCACTAATGAGCACAGCCAGTTAGAGTCTAAAGCCTGTGTGCAATACATATACAGATTCTACCACTTAGAGGGCCTGAGCCTGCATATGTACACACTATACAAAGTATTGCCTGCAGCCACTAGTGTAATATGGCATTATTTCAAATGTACAAAAGTTTTCTTTTCCTTAGATGTATGCCTGTCTTCTCTGAAGTGTGACTCAGGGGTTATGGACAATTGCACTGCAATATACAGCACAGTTTCACACATACTGTAGTTTTCCTCTTTTAACAATGTGCATTATTTTTGCAGTCACTGATGTGCACCAACTGTATTACATTAAGCCAACAGAACACACCATACATGTTTGTCTGGGCAAGTATCCTAACATGCTGATTTAAGAGTATTCTGCTGTTATTCCAGAGCTAGTTTGATGTAGACATTTCTACAAGGCAGTGCATGTGTTTTATATCATGGAGATAGTGAAATCATCTGAAGTTCAGGAGCCGGATCTGACCCGAGCTACGCCCCTTCCATTTCCCAACATATTTAAACCCCTGAAACCACCATACGCCTGCTTCCACTTTTTGTTACCCCCCTTTTTTCTCTAATATCTTCTTCCTCCTATACTGTATATCTGCTGGGGGTCTGCCAGTGCCCGAGAGTGGCGCGGACCTCCAGAATCTTTTCCCCAAAACTGCCAAGTGCACAAACATCTCAAGTTAAGCATTCCACATCTGTTGTTCATCCATAGTGAGGGCAGGTCCCTGCTAGCGAATATATACTGTATTTTTAGTTTTGCACTGCTTTTGAGCCCAAAGTAGCACATTACAGTATACAATGATGTCAGCATACTTGTCTGTTTAAGGATACACTTACAGTAGTGAGTGTGTTGGGGGGGGGGGTGAAACACATGGGAAAGTTAGTACTTGTCCATGAACAAGTCCCAGGGAGGGTTTTGTGCCTACACAACCAGTCCAAATGCTAAGTCACTATCTTCATGTATAGCTAGCTAGTCATGCAACAACAAATCATACTGTTTACCTGTTCTGTTTTGTTGGCAATGTATATTAAAGATAACATATTGTTAGATGCTTGTTAGAAAACACATACCAGTTGTTGCCAGGTGTTTAAAAAAATGTATTTTTTTAACTGAGCACATTATATAAGAAGCTCTTTAGGACACCAGTAGTATATGTTTGTTTGAAGCTGCGAGAGCAATAAATTAAAGACACTTATTGTTATGCCACTGAATTTTTCTTTTTTCAAGTCAGTATAGAACAATTTACAATGTAAATGCTGGCGTTACTTCTCCGGTATGTATGGAATAGGAAGGACATGATTATATTTATTATCTAAGGATATAGTGAGCTCCTCAAGAAAGGGTTGGCAGAGTTGTTAGGTGGGTTTAGAAGGATGAGCTGTTGTCAGGTGGACCAGAATCTTTTTAGCTGAACCTATAAAGCTATGGTATAAATTGAGAAAATAATGCAATGTACTTATGTGAAATAAAGAGGATATAAACTAGGCTATGTGTAGTTTAATATGAATAAAATAACATCGTTTGTACTTTAAAATGATGATGTATGCTCTTATTCTACCTTATTTATTCTCCTGCTTAGTCTTATTATTCTTATTATGCTGTTATTAATATTTTCTTGATTGTTGCCTTAGGAAAGAAATGATGAAAGGAAACTTGAGGCCCTAGTAAAAAAAAAAAAAGCACAAATCACAAAGTAAAATTGCTCTAAAAATGTTGCTTTCATAAAATGAGCATTCTTGAGTTATTGATAGTTAGATCCACAGGTTCACAGATGTAACGCTCTTATTAAGAGCTGAGTATTAAAAACTATTTCAGTGAAGAGGTGAATTGCATGGAAATGTTTGCAGGTCGTGGTGAACATGCAGTAAACCTTCCTGGTCCAATGGCGACATCTAGTGGCCAGTTTTAGAGTTGGAGACACTGTTGGAGAAAGGAAAGTGAAAGAGTTTCGTTTTCCTCGATGTGAGCACCGTGAATCGTCATTGACCTCCCTCAGTAGGTTTTTACTTAAACTGGGAAGGGGAGCCCGTGGCACAGTATTGCGATCAGTATCGATTAGGTTCGTCGTCATGGCTGCGGATAACGATGAGGTATGTGAGCGTCTTATTGAATGTTTTAGGCTGAAGCTACAGCGGTATATTATGGTAGAGCAGGTTCTGGATCATATACATTTTATCGAACCCGAAGTAAGAGAACAGATCAAACAAAAGGCAACGACCGAGGGTGACCGTTCGGCCGTGGATATCCTCATTGGCGCAGTCCTTAAGAAGCCACACAGCCCTGGTTGGTTCACGGCGTTTGTTGACGCGTTGTTACACTCTGGTTGTGAACATGCAGCTGACTACTTACAGCAGAATCTCCCCAAACCTGAAGTGGAGGCAGACAACGATTGCTGTGTCCGGCTTATTGAAATACTGTATCCCAGTCTTGTGGACATGAAAACTGACGAGGTGTATCCACACTGTCTCGCTAAAACCCTGCTTACCCACAATGACGCTGAGATTGTAAGTACACTGTTGTGAAGGTGAGCTGTTAAACCACTACTGATATTCTTATCATTTGGAGTTCACCTGCACAATGACAGTCCACGAAGGACAATCTGAAAGGGGCACAATATGTATTCAGAATGTTTTTAATACAAACTGTCAGAATGTAGACTTGTGTACATTATCTCAGCTGTTCTCAGCTACTGCAAAGTGAAAGTTAAGGAACACGTACAGTAACATAGATGTGTTTCCTGTTGTTGGACGCTAGATGGCAGACAAATGCACGATTCTGTTTTGCAGATCATTATGCCTGCATTTCCAATCAGACTATATGTTCGTCGTATTCTAGATTAGAGCAGAAATACAAAACAGGGGACCCAAAGCTGGAGCCCGTGAACTTCTGAAAAGAATCGTGAAAGGTCGCCCGGGATGGATTTCTGAATTTCTCGATATTCTGCAAACAACTGGACACCAGGAGCTGTACCAGCTGATTCGCGGGCCACCTGACTGTGACAAACAAGGTGAATAACTTTACTACAGCATACACCCATAACAGGGAATGCCATACAAGTCTATGGCTGCAGAGTACTCACAGAATCCTTATTTTATTTGACAGCTTTGTTAGAGTTTACTGGTTATGGTGCTGTGAGCATTATAAAATAATCTCAAATCTGCTTTCTTACTGTAGTTGAGGATTATCATTCTTCACTTACACAATGTTTATGTTCATTTATCCTTCTGCTCAGATGAGAAACTGCCTTCATTGAAAGGTGAGCCCACAGGAAATGACATCACCATGGAGGAGGATCCAGCTGCGGCTAAAAGCCATAATAGCCCAGAGTCTATGGACATCGGCAACACCGAGGATCCTCAGGATGAAGCCGCAGGTCTTACAGAGAACTTCTGTTCAATGATCATTGAAAAATGAACTATATGAAGTGGTAAATAAGTAAAAGAAAAAAATCTGAAAGGTGTCTATAAAAAAAAACTTCAGTAATTGGGGCATTGCTTCTGAAAAAAGGTTCTCCAAATGTTAGTGTAAATGCATTAAGTATCTCCTGTCCTTGAGTGTGGTTTTTACACTTTGGTTGATATCTTTTCAGACCTGTATGAGGGAGTGAGCACTGAATCCAAACAACTGTCAAACAGCTTGGAGCCCTCAAATCCAGGTGGGATTGATTCACAGTCACTCACTCTGATACTTTTGATGCTGATGTATTTAAAGCATATTAGTAATCTAAGAAACTTCTGTTCTAGTTCTGCCCCAGTAGCCTGCACATGAAAACCAAACTCAAGTCACAGCAGGAAAGTAGCATGTTGGATCTGTAGCTGCGCTATTGTTATTATAACGGCAGAGTGAATGTAGCTGGAATGTGCTGCAAGTGGAATATGTTTCTGTCCTGTCAGCTTGACACCACCGAATATGTTCCATGTGTGTACCACACTAAACCACAAAGAGGGCGGAGTGTAGCCAGCATTGTAAATGAAAACCACATGCTGACTCTGTATTGAGGGGCTGTAAAGAAATGTAAAAGAAAAGTTTAATTCACTGTGGAGTTTGGCCCTCCTCTGATCCTCTAAGCTGATATCATACTTAATTTGTTTGATTGTTTCAATAGCTACTACATCGGCATCATCCCTTTTTGCACTGTTTTCATAAAAATGCCTTTCTGACATTGTGTTCACGTAATAAATGATAGCTCTAGGGATAATCAACCCAGAACAGAGAAATGGACTAATGAGGCAATGGAAATAATTGTATGAAATGAGGCAACAGAAGATGTCTTTCCTTTCTTAATATTAGGTTACAATACAATTGGGCTCATTAATTTGAGTAATGCCTTAAACCTGACAGTCGTTGGCCAGAGTGCATGGCTTAAATAGAACAGACTTCATGTAGGATTGTTCCACCAGTTTGTGTAAAAAGTTGTGCAGAATTATTTGTGTGTCTTCTGAAATTAAGTGGGATTTACTGCATTTAATCAAATTAACGAATAGGCCTGTGGGTGTTCTGTTCTAATTGAAAGGATACTGAACATAGCTGTCTGCTGACATTTCCTTCTCTAATAAGTCTAATATCTGGGAACTGCTGCTAAAGGCTTAGGGAACCACACAGGCCCATGTACTTCATAAAGATTTCTCTCTCCATCAGTACAGACACATTTACTTTTTGTCGTTGCTTGAAAGAGCATTTAAACTCTGGCATACCAAATCTAGCAGGGAAAATTAAAAACAGTCGGCACTACCAAAAAAAAAAAACTTTCTGGGGGTTTGAACTCATAACTAGGAGGGACTATAGAACTGAAGGGGAAGGGCAGTAGAAAGGGGGGTGCATACATGGTGCTGTAGTCATGATTTGCCCCTGGTCTAGACTGAGCAATGAGTCATAGCCTCCTTTTGACTTAAAGTCTGACTGAAATGCATCATAACAAGTCTGCTGTCCTCACAGACAGTAAGATAAGACAAAATGATTGCATAATAGATGTCAGGAACAGGGACCTGGTGATGAAATAAAACACATCGAGCAATTTAAGATAATCTAAATGACTGATAAATACTGTACATGCAGGTGTTAGCTTGAAAATGAAATACAGTTCTTGATCTTTGTAAAAGTTTGAGGCAGTTACATTTGATCATAGCAGTGTTCAAGTGTGTGTTTTAAAGATTTGTAATGATATTATATGCTAGATTATATATACCGGTATGCACCGATCAGCCATATCATTACGACCATCTGCCTAACACTGTGTACACAGGAGTCAGTGCAGCAGTTGGTTAGCTCTTGTGTCACTCTGCAGCTCACTGTGCATCTTCTGTCAATCTGTTTGCTTCCGTACTTCTACTGTCAGGAAGAGCACAGATGTGTCGACCATTCAGTAAAAAACACATCTACAAGAAGTGAAAACTGTGGTGGTGAGGACAAGTTAAAGATCATGTTTTATACAAATCCAACAGCCTCCCCACTCCAGGTGTGATATCACCACTATAGCTCTTCATAGAGACCGATGTACAGTATTTCTCATTTTCAACCACTTTAACAAAGTAGATCAACCTCACCATCAGTGAGTCCATGACCCTGTTGCCTGTTCACTGTTTATCCTTCCTTAGAAACTGTTGGTTGGTACTAACCACTGCAGACTGGTAACACCCAACAAGACCTGCAGACTGGGAGACGCTCCGACCCAGTCTTCATCCATCACAGTTTAGCCCTTGTCAGAGTCACTCAGATCCTTACACTTGCCTTTTTTCTGCTTCCAACACATCAACTTCGAGGACTAAATGTTCACCTGTTGCCTAATGTACCCCACACACCGACAGGTGCCACTGTAACAAGATAATCAATGTTATTCACTTCACCTGACGTATTGGCCTGCATTTGGCACACCTTTAAAAAAAATCTAAACTTTCTGATTTGAATTAAGCAATATGGTCCAATAGTGCCTCTCAGTGAATTGATTTACAGTTTACAGTGTTTACTGTACTGTATATCTTAACTACCAAAGATGAGGTTTGACTGTAACTGCTTCTGTTTGCACTGTAAAGTGTTCAGAAGGGCCTCTGCAGTGTTCATCAAATCTAAAAATATCTGATGTGTATTCAGTGAACTGGGTGTATATTATATGTGCATGTTTCGACATTTTAACTGTGTTAAGAGGACATTCTATTACAAGACCAAAACCACCAACAGTGACAAGCACTGTCTTTTTTTGCAATTGTGGGTTGCTGACATGGACAGAAATTTTGTCTCTCTGAATGTCTGTTCCGCATTACAGATGGAACTAACCCAGCAGCAGCCGGAAGCCCAGAAAATGACGATTTTGATCTTCGAGATTATCAGATGGAAGTCGCAAGACCTGCCTTGGAAGGGAAAAACATCATCATATGCCTCCCGACAGGAAGTGGCAAAACCAGAATTGCAGTTTATATTACCAAAAAGCATCTGGACTGCAGGAGGACAGAGGGGCAATCAGGGAAAGTAATTGTCCTGGTGAACAAGGTACTACATTAACAAAGTCTGGTGTACTTGACTTATGGCTTTGCACAGTTGTGTTACCCTACTTCTGTCATCATCAGATCCAAAGAAAATATTTATCTTTCATTCACTTTGCACATGTGGGTCAGCTCAACACACATTGCAAGCCACAAGGTTAAGATATTCTCCCGTTACTATTTGGCACATATGTGATATGGTCTGCACTGGGGGAAAATACTACTTACTCCATTTGGCATTAAAGGTTTTCCAGCTATAAAATCATTAGAGTTTTACAGAGCCTCAAGAAATAGTGATTGCTGTCAACAGATTCATAATACTGCAATTAACTGTGATCATAGACAAGCACACTCTCAAATCAGTGATAGAAACAATGGAGACATCTTTTTTTGAAGGTCATTTCTATTTGTTCAGTTTCTTGACTCTGTGGCATATTCATTAGAACAGTTCATGTGCTCTGGTATCTTGTAGGTTCCTCTTGTTGAGCAGCATTATTCCACAGAGTTCTCGCCACTGAAGCCCACATATAGGGTGGAGAGAGTCAGCGGGGACAGCCAGCTAAAAATCTCTTTCACAGAGATTGTGAAGAACAATGACGTCATCATTTGCACGGCCCAGATTCTGGAAAACTTCTTGGAGAGGGCTAACAAAGGAGAGGACGAAGGGGTGCAGTTAAGTGGTATGATTTTACAGCTCAAAAAGTTTATTATCCTTTTGCAATTGTTCATAGGACCACTTTAAGCTGGGTTACAGTGCTTTTATTTAGGAAAACTCAGCTAAGTATTTCACAAATTTACACAAAAAAGACAATATGGGTAAGAAGAAAACAAACTACTTTGACTAGGCCCCCAAAAGAAGTGACCTTGAAAAAAATAGTGGCTGGCTGACCCTGAAGAAAACAGGCCCATCACAAAGCAGATTGAAGTGTTAGATGCCAAATCTGTGAACCACCTGGGGTGTATGCAGAAGTTGAAGGTGGATCTGATGCCTGGACAAATCAGAAAAATAAACTTATAGGATACATCCCAATTCCCTTAAATGCATCCACAGCTCTCATTTGTGTCTTTTCCCTGCATCTTAGTCCCGCCTATGTAAGATGCTAGGAAAAGATGCAAGGAGAAAAAGCAAGAGATGAATCCCAATTCCCTTATTTTACCATTCCTCAGTCCTCGAATTTCGCTCAGCCCAGAAGTCATTCCAGTTCACCATGATGAAGGATGTCCCAAAGCTCTTATTTCTGCTCTAGGAGCAAGGAGAGTGCCTGAAGGAGCTATAACCGAGGATAGATGAGTGCATCCTTCACAGAAATCTGTTATGGATTGACACGCCCCTTTGTCGGACATCAGTTTATGATTGGATGCTTCGCATGAAGGGTCGAGGAAAGGATGTTTCATGTCAGTTAAAACGTGTTTCATCAGTTCCTCTCTCCTCACATCTTATTTGGGCAGGACTAAGACACGAGGAAAAGACGCAACTGAGGGAAATATGGATACAATTAGGTGCATTGGGACTCGCCTAAGGAAAGACGATTTATGGAAATGCTTGTAGAGACATGAGATGTCCTTTCCTCTGGCCCTTCATGTGAAGCGTCCAATCACCAATAGATGTTTGATAAAGGGATGTGTCGGTCCATAAAAGACTTTGCGAAGAGTGATTTAGTGCTCATGGCTCTTCCTCTGCCCTTGCTTCTCAGACCAGATATAAGAGCTTTGGGATGCCCTTCAAAATGGCGGACTTCCAGTTTGAGCGAGGAACAATCAGTTGAGGGAAGTGGGAATGCAAAGAACAGATAGAAATGGAAGAAAACAAGTATGGCATCCAACACAGATGTTAATAGAATCTCAACACAAGAGTTTTTATGGGCCGAATAGGTTAAAACAAGTAAGTGTTCAAAATTAAACATGGCCATAATATCTTCTTTTTTTTTTCTTAAAACCTTCAGCTGTCCAGGCTTAAACCACAGACACTGACAGGTTTTGGAATAGAAAGCCACCCGGAGGACTCATAGCAGCATCTCCCCTGATGATACCTGACAGGATCTTGTCAGTCTTCCGGCTTTGCTGTTCACTCCTGTTGGCACTCACCACTCCAAGGTGGAATAGCCACCTCAGTGGAACATATGCTGTTTGTTGAAACGCCTGAGAGCGTGTAATGTTTTTTTCCCCCCTATTTCCTGGTTTCCAGGCCACACGTCTGTTCAAGCCATCAGTGTGTGGCTGATCAAATTCACATGAGAGCTTCTATCACCCACAGTACATTGAGACTCTGCATACTCTTTTACTCTAGAGGCAAATTTGTATCACTCCTGAGTAAACTTGTACATATTAATGATTATGATTCAGTTTTCTTACACTTTTGTTAAAAAAAAACTAATTGGCTGAAGTTATTTTTGAATTAGACAGTTTTTACCAACATATGTTATTGTGTGGCTTAAAATGCTGCGTCAAAAGTTCCTGGAAAAGTGCTGGTTTGTGTGGGAGGTTCTCTCCTACAGAAAGATGCTCTATTTATTTATGATACATAAATAAATACCATAAAAATAGCACCGCTTGGTTGAGAAAATTGCAGTCTTGTTTACAGTAAGATGTAAGCAGTTATGTCCCTGGACGATAATGTAAGAGTGAGAAATCTAGACCTGTAAATGTTATTGTTTTAACAAAACAAATAATATGAATGTTACTGCAATGACTGCATATTTTCCCGTTTTGCTTTCTATAAAAGTCATATTATCCACTACTTTGCATCAAATACAATACATTAATATAGAGTATATGTTTGTCATGTCTTCTGTTCATGTAGATCTGACATTGATCATAATAGATGAGTGTCACCACACTCAGAAGGGAGGAGTCTACAACCACATAATGATGCGTTATCTGAAGCAGAAGCACAAAAACAGAAGGCTGAAGAAGGAGCAGAAGGAGCCTGTGCCCATTCCTCAGATACTGGGACTGACTGCCTCACCGGGGGTCGGAGGAGCCACAGAAATAAAGAAAGCAGAGGAGCACATTCTGCGAGTAAATACCATTCTCAGCTTTATCTTGCCACCTATGGAGACAGCATGCATTAGGCTATGTGGACAAAATAATAGCTAATGACATCGCCAGCACCGGGTTTAAGCTCATTTTGAGCAAAAACTGTTCATTAAAAACAAGTATATTGTGCAGAATTTTTAGTGAATTAGAGCCACATGCAGTATATTCATATGTCGCTGGAAACAACAGTCTCTGATTCATCCTTTGTTCATCTAAACCCTAACCCCAGTTTGTCTGCCTTAGTCAGTGAGGAGCCCATTCGTCCAGCCAAACACTTCCCAGGCACACAGGGCAGCCATAAGGTTTCCTGCCACCACAAATGTATAAAATTGGAAACAGACTTTTGGCTTTAACTCTGTTAGTTATGCAGAAATGTTGTAGAAATAGTGTGACAGAGGTATATGACTTTGATTCATTTTTAACACAGTAAATTGGTTTCTCTTTCATAGATTTGTGCAAACTTAGATGCTTCCCGGATCATGACAAGGAGCCTTGGGGAATACAAAAAGGAACAACGTAAAATAACTTTAACTATTGAAGACAGAAAAGAGGTACATTAGTTTAACAGGACATGTCATCTTTTATACAATTTCTCTAAGAAATGGCAAGAGTGTTGCATTTTTGTACAACCTAATATATTTTTCAGGATCCCTTTGGTGATGTAATTAAGAAAATTATGAAGGACATTCATGCTCATGCCCAGTTGAGCCCCACCTATGACCTTGGCTCTCAGAATTATGAACAGTGGGTTGTTCAAACAGAGCGAAAAGGTGAGTACAAGTTTTATCTTACCATTCTCATCATCAGGGATATTAATCCTTTGTCCAGTTTAGCTTTTGTTTTTTCTTTTTTACTGGTAACAAACTACCTGGCTTGTAGAGATCTAAAACCTGTCTCTATCCATTTTAGCTGCAAAAGAGGAAGATCAGAAAGTACGGGTTTGCGCAGAGCACCTTCGACAATACAACGAGGGCCTGTATCTCAGCAACACCATTCGCATGTGTGATGCCCTCAGTTTTCTGAACAAGTACTACGAGGAGGAGATAAAGAGGAAAACAAACCCAGATGAGGAGCACAAAATACAGATGACAGAAACTGAGCGATTCCTCTTTACTCTATTTAGAGGTATTGTAGTTTTTGGAAAAAGCCCCGGTGATTTTTTTCTTACCACTCTTAACATCTGTTTGGTATACATGTACATAAAGCAGCTGCCGGTTATCTTAGCTTAGCATACAGACCGGAATCAGAGGGAAACAGCTGGCCTGGCTCTGTCTAAAGGTATCATAATCTCAACTCATTAATTAACATTGTGTGTTTAACCTGGATGAAAACTTGAGTGTAAAAACAAGTTGTAGTTTTACAGGGGGTTTGTCTGACAGACTATTTCTTGTTTAGAAGCAACAGATGACAGTGTGCAAGTCAGTGGATTTTCCCCTTTGAATGGTCTTTTTGCTAAGCTAAACTAAGCAGCTGCTTGCTGAAGCCATACCAGACAGACTTTAAAGTGGTAACAAGCTTCTCATTTAACTCAGTACAAAAGTAAATTTATTTAACCTTTAATTTAAAAAATGATTTTAAAAAAAGAAAAATAGAACTGACCTCAGTTGTTTGAAATTCTTGTCCTGCAGACAGCAAGGAAAAACTTAAGGAACTTGCAGATAATCCAAATTTTGAAAATGATAGCCTGTCAAAACTACGAAGTCAAGTTCTGAAAGAGTTCAGCAGCAGGGAGGAGGCCAGAGGAATCATTTTCACCAAAACACGTCGTAGTGCTATTGCACTAAGCCAGTGGATTCAAGAAAACCCCAAGTTTGCTGACATTGGAGTGAAAGCCTCACATTTCATTGGAGGAGGTGACCAGAGTGTTGTTAAACCAATGACCGCTGTGAGTACACAGTACCAGTGTTGTATTTGAGTCACTAAATCTCGAGTCCGATTTGAGTTTTGAGTCCTCATGTTTGAATCCGAGTCAAGTCCGAGTCACCAAAGAATAATCTGAGTTGAGTCCCCGTTACTCAAGTCAGAGTTATTAGGGTCTACATTAAACACATTTGACAGCTCTCACCATTTTATATACCAAGCTTTCTAACAGTGCAATTTGATACATAAAAATCATTTATAGAAAGGCAGAAGGTAGGCTTTGATGGAAGTGTGCCAGATACAGTATGATGTGGGTGAACAGGTTTTAATATCAATGTTTTATGGCAAATTATTATGGCCTATTACAAAAATAAGAGGCTGAAGTTTTGAGTCCAAATGTAGGCAATGCTCAGGTCCACGTCCGAGTTATCAGTGCTCAAGGCCAAGTCAGTTCACGAGTCCTGAAAACCTAGACTCAAGTCGAACTCGAGTCCTAAAACACTGCGTGGTACACAAGCTACCTACACTTGCCTCAAGCATCCTACACATTTCAAATCCAAATTAAACTTAACCTCCTCAATTTGTGTCAATCAGGCAGAACAAAGGGACGTGTTGAACAAATTCCGCAAAGGAGACTTCAACTTGCTGATTGCTACAACAGTGGCAGAGGAAGGTTTGGACATACAGGCCTGCAATGTTATTATCCGATATGGCCTTGTCACCAATGAGATTGCTATGATTCAGGTCAGTGGCCTCAATAGTCAAATGACTAAGAACCTGTTATCTTTGTTAATGTTTATTGCTGTTAGGTTCAGTAACGAGGCATTTATTGTGCTGCTTGCATTGATTGAATCATTGCTTTTTGCAGGCCAAAGGCAGAGGGAGAGCTGAGGACAGCAGTTACGCTGTGGTTGATGTGAAGAACTCTGGGGTGGCTGAAAAGGAGTGTGTCAATGAGTACCGCATAGACATGATGAACAAAGCCATTGACAAAATCAGAGCCTTAAAACAAGAGGACTATGACAAACGGGTATGTTCAGTTCAATTTCCTTTATGTGCATTGAACTGAAATTCCATATTGCTGTACAACTGTGTTTTTTTTTTTTTTTTTAATTAGATCATAGAGTTTCAGATACAGGCTATAATGGAGGAAAAGGTGAGAATGGTAAAGAAGAAGCAGAAGGTCATGAAGAATGAGAACCCATCTCAAGTGAAGTTTAGCTGCCGAGGCTGCAACGAGCCCGTCTGCACTGGTGAAGACATCCAGGTCATCGAGAACGTACACAGAGTCAATGTTACCCCACAGTTTAGGTACGAATTACAATTTAAAGTTGCCTTTTAGAATATTCTGAACAATTTATGTATGTTTAATGATGTAAAACCTACATGCCGCTAACTGTAAATAAGCTGTGATAATTATTTACCCTGTATTTTTCACAGCAAACGTTTCATACGGAGAGAAAACACCACTCTTCAAGGGCGACTTCTGGATTATGAGACCAATGCCTTCATAGCATGCAAGGACTGTGGACAGGTAAATGTGAATTTGAATTTTTTTTTTTTGTTTTGCAAAGCTGAGTTTTAGTTGGGATTCTTTAGAAAAGATATCTTTTTATGAATCATAAAGAAATAGGTCAGCATTTCAGAAAATATCCTTTAGTTTCTGGACTGGTGAACAGATGAATAAGAGAAAATAGGACAAGTCCAGACCAGTCATTAATACACAGCAGGATGGTCAGAAAATGAATGAATCAGAACCATATGACACAACTAGTGCCAGATGACATCATATCTTTTTATTTGAGACCATGACTACCTCATCTGGGAGCCATTTTCCTGCCACATTCTATTTCAGCTGTGGGCACAAAATTGTTACTCACCAAGCCTTTGCTTACTTGATGGAGACGTTTGCACATACAACCACATCATCCCTTAACCTTTGTCCTCTATTGCAGAGTTGGGGTACGATGATGTTGTACCGTGGGATCGAGTGCCCCTGCCTCCATGTGAAAAACTTTGTGGTGACAGTCAAAGAAAAGACACTGAGTAAATGCACCAAGTGGGTTGAGCTTGCTGTCAAGTTTCCTGCCTTCGACTACGCTGAACATGCGAGCCTGATGGTCGAGAGCTCAGATGATGAGACAGAATGAAGTGTATTATGCAGACTCATCAATCAAGAAAACATAAATTTCTGCTATATTCTTTCTTTCTAACATTGTGGCTTGTACAGCATGACTTCAGTGCTACTACTATGTCATTACAACCGGAGTCGCTAATGGTAGTGGATTTAGTATGTGTTGCAAACAGGGTTGTCCGGAGCAACAATTTTACAATTGTATTGGTAAATGCATAAATCTCTGTATGTCAAAATATGACGTTGCACTAGGATTGTGAGTATATGTTGAATTTGCTGCTGAAATTCTTTTATGATTATAAAATATACACTCTAGCCTTCAAGCTCATCTACAAGTGTCCATCACTACTAGAAAATAAAGAAAATGATTAATGAAAGATAGGCCCTCTCAAACCCTTGAGATCTTATGGGATGGGAGCCACTGAGCCTGTGATCGCCCCTCAGAGCCTACCTGTCAACACACATGCAGACAAACAGGTGCTGAGGACGTTTCAGGATAATAAAGTATAAAAACTGATGCACTATCTGACTTCTAGTACTTTTTTAAAAATTGCATTAACTTTTTAAAGAAATAATCCACAATACAATAAAACTCTTACCCTTTTAATTGCCTTACTTCACTCCTGAGTGTAAAACATCTGGAAAATATACTTGGGGAATTGAACTGGGAGGCAAAACTCGAACTGACTTTTTCAGCTTCTCAGATTTGTTGAGAGAATGACTCACATGAAGAAGCCACTTCCTAAATACTAGAAGGTGGTGCGCCTTGCAAAGTTGTCCAGGCTGCTGACTTGAGTAATCTCTGTTGGGTGACGGGACTCCTCAGGAATCCTGAGAAAGTAGGACGAAGCTCACTTTTCTTATGTAGTTTAGTCATTTTCCGCATCTAGGCCGCTTGTTCAAGAAGTCACTGAACTTAACGTGAGCGACAGTCTGCGGCTTCACCCGCACCATGGTCAGTAATCGATTTAATACCAGCGTTAATAGTGCAAACTAAGTCTTGAACTATAGATGTGTTAATGCAGAATTACTTGGGCTGCCGTGGACAGCGTGGAGCTCTGTGTGGACGGGGGACAAAATAACGAGAACTTGAATCGTCAGCTTGCGTTATGTGATTTTTTAACTTGTTGTTACCTTTCCCAGGGCTACGGGAAGGTGTTATCGGGGGTGTTAGGGGCAGCTGCCGTCATCACCTTAATAACAATCCCAGCGGTTTATTTCAGCAGTAAGTTACAGTTTCTCTTTGTGTCCTTGTGCTGCCTGTTGGAACTCAGAGTGAAAATGATCATAAACAGATTGTGTAACTCCAAATCATACATTACAGTTATTTGTGCTTGGGCCCATTTTAAGTTTCATTTTTGTTTAAATGGGTCTTTTTAGGTTTAATTTGTTTAAGTGGCAAACTCGCGAAAGAGCAGAAAATGATTATATGATTTACAAATTGCTCCAATGTGGTTTTTAAGCTGCATCCTGCTGGAAGTTACAGTTCAAATAGCGCCACCACGTGACGCACAGGTGAATGGGTGGTTTTCATTTCAGATTGAACTGCAAACATTTAGGAGTTTCTGACACCCTTATGAAGCTATTTAAAGTAATGCAGCCGTGCACAATTTCAGATACTGGCGGTACCAAGAGGCCATTCACCCTTGATGATTACTTCAATGATACCATAAGGTGGAAATCTTACTATTTGCATTGGATATCAGGTATAGCTGCCAGTCAGAATAGGCAACATAGTGTATTAATCTTTATGTTGTGTATAAGTCTCTCAAAAGCGTATTGTTGTCCTTCCTATCTGCAGATAAGGAGTATCTGCATAAAGCAAGAGATGGGAATCTCTTTCTCAACAATGCAGAAACACAAGAGGAGTCACTATATTTGAGCAATTTGACCTTTGTAATATACATATGCATACATTTGTAACAATATTTATCAGAGCTGATCAGTGCTAGTTTATAAATTGCTAATATTTTCATAATCATTCTCACTGTAGGCCCAAGTGAATGCCACAAATTATTTACTGTCAGGCGATCATAAATACATTGCTTTGGAAAGCAATTACACCAAGGTGAGAAACTACTGGTAAATGCTCCCCAGTTCGTTTTGTATGTTTGTTTTTAGTTGTAAATGTCACATTAAGTTTGATCATAACAAACAGGATTGCAAAAGTCTTCAAACTGGTTTTTGTGTTTGACATCCAATAGAAATGGAGACATTCATTCACAGCCTCATACTCCATCTATGATAAGGAGAGTTCGTAAGTACCCATGATCTATTGTTATTGTATCACTCAGAAACCTAAGTGCAATTGTATGCTACATTCTTCAGTAACAAAACAGTACTTAATTCAATGATAATCACCCAATAATTTTTGTGTTTTATTGCAGAACATTTGTCACACCTGTGAGTCTTCCAACTGTTGTGCAGTACTTTGCCTGGGCCCCAACAGGAAACAAATATGTGAGTTTACACCATGTTGTCATGTTCTCTGGTCTTCACAAGGGCTCACTTCAGCTGAAGGGAATAATACTCGAGCTACTTCAGCATCACTGGTTTTAAAATATGCTTAAATAGACAACATTTATATATTTATTTTTTTGTCTCTGTCAAAGGATAAGGAACACTGAGGTCTATCTTAAGGATGATTCAATGTGTTATCTCAACCGGCAGCCTGAGTTTCCTGTGTATGTTTGGGGAAGCTGGCTTTAAGTGGTTGAGTGTGGAGCCTACCAACAACTGTTCTGACAATATGTGGGGGCTGTTTATTTCTTTCATTCCTTTTTGTCATTTAATACACTACTACACAACTTTTTTGCCTTCTAATAGTGGGTAGAGCGGTTGTCTCCCAACCGGAGGGTCGGAGGTTAGAATCTCGAGGCCTGCGGTCCACATGGCGAAGTGTCCTTGGGTAAGACACTGAACCCCCGAGTTGCCCCCAGTGGTTAGAGCCATCGCGCAGATGGCTGCCACAGTTCTGTACTGGAAACAAATTCCTTGTGTGTAACATACTTGGCCAAATAAAGGTGATTATAATGTTTATCCTGGCCAGAGAGCACAAAAGCCTGCTATAGAAAAACAGCTCCCAACTGACAAATTACACATGTTATCAGAACAGAGGACATTGGGAGGCTCTACACTCAACCAGTTAAAGCTGGCTTCTCTATACACACACAGGAAACTCAGGCTTCTGATGGATCTCAGTGCTCCTTAACCTTTGACACCTGTAGCTTAACTCACTGGAATAACAGAGTTACATAAAGTATTTCTGACACATGCATAACTGGTGAATTTCTACCACAGTAAATATACTGCAGTTAAAATCATAAAAACTCTAACCACATTGTGTTTTGCAGGCTTATGTCTCAGACTTCAACATTTTTTTCAAATCTAATGTCAATGCTAAAACTGTACAATTAACCAACAATGGGAAAAAGAATGAAATCCTTAATGGTGTCCCTGACTGGGTATATGAGGGTAAGTATTGTTCTTTTTCAGGAGTTTGCATTTGTGTGTTTTAGATGGAAGATAATTACTGAATTGTTTTTTTTTTTCTCCCAACATTTTCAGAGGAAGTATTTGGATCAAACGGGGCAATATGGTGGTCGTCAACTGGGAAATTCTTGGCTTATGCTGAGTTTAATGATAGAGAAGTTCACAAAGTGGAATTTTCCTGGTTTGGATCTGAGCAATATCCTCAAACAGTGGCTGTTCCATACCCAAAGGTGGGATTCTCATGTGCCTTTTACAAACATGGAATATAGTTATTAACAGGCAAAATACCCATTAAGAGATAAATGCTATAGTCCAAATAGAACAAATTATATGGGCCAGTTCTCAACTTCATATTTTATCTTCCTCATGCTCTCATGATGTATAATTATTCATCAAGAATGTATCTTATGATGTAGGCTGGATCAAACATTACCAAGGTGAAACTGTTTGTGGTTGATACCACAAATCCATCTCATCGCTCACAGGTGTTTCCCCCTGCATCTGTTGCTTCTGGGTCTGTATATACTACATTTAAAGCGGAGCCAGATACAATATATTTATAGTCTGTCTTACATGAAAACCTTGTCACCTTCTGTTGCCTTTACCCAGTGATCACATTATGTGCTCAGTGACGTGGGTTACAGATGAACGCTTCGCTGTGCAGTGGCTCACAAGGAAGCAGAATTACGTGATTGTACAGATCTATGACTTTGATGGCAGCAACTGGAGAGCAAAGCAGGTACATACAATATCACCTCCTGGTTATCTTTCTGGTCAGGAAGTCTTAGCTGGTTTCCAGCAGGATTTTCTAATGCTTCAGTGCTTTAACTGCATGCTCATGTGATTAGATGCTAATTTACTCCAATAAATGTCTACTCTGCACAGAAATTTGAGCAAACAAGCAAGACAGGCTGGGTTGGTCATGTGAGTTTTCAAAAAGTACAGCCTTTGTATATTGCCAGTGAATTGTTTGAGCTGGTGCATGACTACAAAATCTTTCCTTTTTTAGTATATGCCATTGCCTTTATTCTTTGCTGAAGATAAACTCAGTTTCTACAAAGTGATGAGTGACGCTCAGGGCTACAAACACATTCATTATGTGAGAGATGTAAGTATTTTCAGTTATTGTTATCAGAAGTATACTGTCCAGTCACTTTTGTCTTACCTTTGCTATATGTGGTGTTTTATTAAGGGCAAAGCAACACCTATTACCTCTGGGAAGTGGGAAGTCATCTATATATCCAAACTAACCACAAATGCCATGTGAGTAAAGATACCATACATGATACATTATATAGTCCATGAACAATATTATAGGATGAAACCATGTAAATGTGACTTGCATGAAATTCTTTTCCACAGATACTTTGTGAGTAATGAATACCAAGGAGTACCTGTTAAAAGAAATCTTTACAAGTAAGGAATTAATTTTACATGTGATGGATTAACTCATTTGTTTTATTGCATCTGTTTATTACTTTTGCAGCACTTTACACTCCTCATATTATTTTTCTTTAGTATGAGTTAATGCATTCATGGACCCCAGGAAGACTAGGAAATGCATTAGTCCAAGCTAACCGGCATCAATAAACAAGAGCAAGGAAACCAAATATTAGAGCATTTGCTTCAACTGGCACGAACTGAATCACATAACTGTTTGTTTTTCAGGGTTATGATTGGAACCAGTCCTTCTGCCCCTCAGTGCCTCACCTGTGACCTGTACAAGGACAGGTGTCAGTACAACTCAGCCTACTTCAGCTTTGACGCCTCCTACTATCGAATGGACTGCTACGGTCAGTTACTCCTCCACATTTCCTCTTAGCAATAACTCATCTGTGGCCAAGGTTTACATAAAACCCCAAATGAGAAAAGGTTGGGACAGTACCATCCCACTTTTTCTGTTTTGGGGTTGTATTATCTGTGGTGCTGAGTGTCTGTAAACAATAATCTGAGCTCTGATAGTCAGTGCTAAAGTTTTACAGAAGACTTGATATGTAATCAGCTATTTGTGCATTTTCTATTTTTGTTTTTACCAGGGCCAGGATTGCCTCGCTACACACTCATGGACAACAGGGGCCCAGGTGCACGTATGTATACTCATGAATTTGATGAAGTTTCACTAGGTACTAACCCCAAGTCCACTGTTTATATACTGCAATTGCATCATTTTACAATTAGTGCATATTATCATCTCATGGTGGGCCCTTCAGATGTGCACAGATACAGCTGTATTATTAACTGTACGTGTATATTGTTATTTTCAGGAAATTATAAAGTTCTTTGTTTCTGTACTATTTATTGTACATAATCAGTTGTACTCCAGATTAGGTACTATTCTTATAATCAAAAAATAATTACATCCTCAGGTTCATGCATCTGGCCAAAATGAACTTCTTTGCATCAGGTGTATAGGCCAAAGAGTAATACTAATAAAGTAAAAAGGTTATAGCTTGCACACAGATTTGATGGTCTAAAACGTTATTTTTATTCAGGCAAAGCTGCCACGAAAATGACATTTTGACATTAGGTCTCCATGCGAGAAAGTTCGTTTAAGATATAAATCCAGTATGCCTCCCTTTGGTGAAGTTTCTTCTCTCGGTACCCTCCGCTTGAAGACATGGCAACTGTTTTAAAATTAATTAATCTTATAGGAATAATATTGTGTCCTGTGTTGTTAAATTGTTTTGCCACGACTGGCTGTCTGAATAAAAATTATAATAAATAATAATAATAATAATGTGTTGTGCATCGAACCAGTGTGCGGGCTATAATTGTTTTACTCGATTACTAAATATTTCTTTACACATTTATAAATCGTACCACACATTTAGTTTGTGATTCATTTAGCTAATAGAGTTTGAACACTAAAGATTTTAGGCTGAGGTGGGGGCCTCGAGTCACATGACTTGAATCACACTTAAATCGTAAAATTTGAGGACCTGAGATTTGATGGATTAACACTTGTAAAACACGCGATTTGACTTTGCCTTGGTGTTCATGACTAAGCACTTGACTTAGACCTGAGTCAGATCACTCGTAATTACTTGACGTTTTCATTAAACGTTTGCATTTTTCTAGGTATTGAGAAGTTACGTTTTGTTTTTGAAACATAATTGGGTGATTTCTAGTGCAAACCTGGCAACCCAACAGAACGCGGGCATACTAGCAGAAGGTAACAGGTGGCAGGAAACAGCTATCATGGAGGGGCTTAGTACAAAACTAATACAATTTGGATTCATGGATTATTTCGTCGAGGACGGTAGTAAGATGAGAACGGGCGGTATGCAGAGTTTGTAGCTCAAAAATAAACGACACGACTTTCACAACATCAAGACTTTATCAGTCACTACAAAACTCACAAAGAACGCTAAGTACATGAAGGTGTACGTTAGCTAACTTATTAGCCGGTCAAACTTTAGCTAGAAAGCTTTCGTTAAATGTTAGACTCGCGTTTCAAATGCATTGTTTTGCGAAGAGTTTATGGAAGCTATGACGGGCATATCTTTTAATTTAATAGCTAAGGGCTAGTTAGCCTACAATTAATAATGAGAGTTGGTTTGTCAACATTTTACTTAAATGCGTGATATTCTCATAACATCAAAATTTTGTATGACTTGATTTGTGACTTGCTTGGTTCTCACCACAGTAACTTGGGACTTAGAGTACTTTACACTTGAAAGATAAGACTTGAGAATACTTTGACATGCACATGTGACTTACCCACCTCTGTTATTTGGCATTTTGCATCATAAACTATACGTGTGTTAACTAAAAGCATTTGTTGCTTTTTATAAATACAGGTACGGGTCAGTACATGTTGGCTTGAGACTGGCTATAGCTTCAGAAACACAACAGATTATGACAAATCATCATAAGGAGGTGCTTACAGCAGTTGACCAGTTATTCTGTGCCACCTCACTGCTGATGATTACCCTGAGCTACGCAGTTTTTGTGCATTGAATCTTTGTAAAGGTTGTCATATTTTTAATATGACTAGTTGTTGTTCTGTTATGTTTTTCAGAGCTCTCCATCCTGGAAGACAACAATGCACTGGAAAACATTCTGTCAGAATTCCAGATGCCAAAAATGCAGTATGGCACACTAAAGGTTGCAGGATTTGGTGAGTCAGTATATGTTTAAAGAGCCCCTCCAGAAATGTTAGAAGATTTTCTGCTTTGAACTATTGTTTATTCTGATATGGTTTTTCTACACACACACAAATAGCATAGTTGTTCTTACAAGCCCATCGACTATTGCTTCGTTGAAAAGAAACGATTAATTTATATATATATAAACGATTAATTTATATATATATATGTATGTGTGTGTGTGTGTGTGTGTGTGTGTATAGAGGTATATTTTTTTATTTCGAAAGTTTGACAGTTGGACAGAAGATATTCCTACTTCACTGAAAAGCCCATTCTCAATATATGTGCACTGAAGTCTTTGAATTTCCATGTCGCAATTGTGTGAGATCAGTATTGGATCAAGATTAGCTTGCAAACCTGTTGAGATGTCTGAAAAGCAGGGGTTAATTTGTGCTGGCACAAGCCGGATCCGGATCCAGCACCTGTCAAATTGTAACCAGCATCTACTTTGACTGACTCAGCATATTTACATATTAAAGCATATGAATATATGAATAATATATAAAAATTCCACAGTCTAATACTTTTGGTACAACTATCTTTTTACAACAGCATATTAGACTAACATTAGATTAATTAAATACAATAAAAACGGGCAGTTTGGCTAATTACATCACAGCATAACTAGCCCATTCAGGTCACACTGGGTCAGCTGAATATTCAGTGTTGTTAGCCACAGAGCAAAAATGAGATGAGAGCGAAAAAAGGACAGGCAAAGTTGCAACACGGTGAAGCTTGTCAGAAATTGGAAGCTGAACAGGGCAAACTGGACCCAGTTATCAAGACTACAGCTGTTAATGATAAGGTTAGTTCATGCCAGGCTGAGGTCATAGATATCAGAAAGAAATAGGACTGCCCAAGATCACAAAAGCAAAGCACAGAATAATGTGGAAGAGCACTCCTGCCCCCTGACTGCATTATGGGCTGTTTAAAATAACAAAAGGTAAGAACATGTTTAATGTTACTGCATTGTATAGTCTCTGGTGTTCTTTAAAGTTGTTGCTGTATTATACTGAATATAATGTTAATGTGTAGTGGTGTAATAAAGCCCTAAATATGATGTCACGCTTGCTACTGGTTGAATTGATTAGAGGCCATAGCCTATCACTTGCAAATGTGTCTTCTTGTGGGTTTTTTTTTTTTTCTTGGCCACTACAAGCTGCTCCCTTAATGTGGAAACTACGCAAACACATTGGTCACTGGGGAACGTTTTCATTCTGGGACCTCCTCTCACCACATTGACATGCCAGGTCCATCACCAAGTGATTTTCCAGGACATAATAATTTACAAAGTAAAAACTGCAGAAAAGTATGTGCATTCAGACACATTTTAAACTTAGGTGAACACAGAAACGTTCTTCATTCAGCAGGTGCAGAGCAATACTCTACACTTAAATCATTCTGCACTGAGAAGGTCAGACTTCCCAGTGAAGTAACAATACACAAATCACTTTGAGTGGTGGGGGACTTTAAATACATTTTATCATATAGGTGAGTTTTTTTTTAAAATTACATTCTCCCTTCTCAACTTCAAGAATGTAAATGTAATTGGGAGATAAAAATAAGTAAGATACAACAAGTAAGTGTAAAGTTGTCATTACTTTCTTTTAAAGATTTTGAGATTGCAATCCATGCTTTTATCACTTCCCATCTTGACTATTGCAATGCTCTGTAGTTTGTTGTTAACCAGTCTTCCCTCTCTCATCTTCAGATGGTTCAAAACGCTGCTGCTCATCTTCTGACAAGTACTAGAAAATTTTGAGCATATAACCCCTGTACTGGCCTCTCTCCACTGGCTTCCAGTCCATTTTAGAATTGATTTTAAGCTGTTGATTTTCGTTTTTAAGGCTCTTAATGGTTTGGCACCATCCTACCTCATGAATTAGTGCAATGGCACAAACCTACAACATGTTTTAGATTTTCAAGGCAATTTATCTTAGAGGTTCCTAGGGCTAGATATAAACGCTGGGGTGACCGTGCTTTTACTGTTGCAGCCCATAAATTGTGGAATACTTTACCTCTCAATGTTAGATCGGCCACCAACCTGACTGCTTTTAAATCATTGCTTAAAACATATGTATTTGCCTTGGCTTTTATTACCTAGTAGGGCCTAATGCTTTTTTTTTTTTTTGACTGTATGCCATTTGTGTCTGTGTTATTGTGCTGTTTTTATTCTTGCATTGATTCTATTTATTTTATTTTAGTTATTTATTGTGTCTTATCCTGCCCATGTAAAGTACTTTGGTCAGCTGGATGTTTTTAAAGTGCTTTATATATTTTGATTTGATTTGAGATAAGCTTTGAAATAAAGAATACTGAGAACAAACAATGATGTTTATCGGATACTGCATCAGATGGATGTAATTTTGATATTTGAAACCTCAATTTGTCTCTCTTCGTAACATTTTGTTTTTCTTCCAAACAGATCTTTGGTATCAAATGATGTTACCGCCAAATTTCAAGAAGTCTAAAAAATACCCTCTCCTTATTGATGTGTAAGTGAGCAGCGTTCCATCCCAGTAGAATTCAGTATACATCTGATAATACATGCTGTTGCTATCGTGTACAGGTATGGTGGCCCCTGTAGTCAGAGGGTGGACTATCGTTTCAAATTGAACTGGGGCACGTACCTCTCCAGTTCACATGGGATCATCGTCGCTAGCTTTGATGGAAGGGGAAGCGGTTACCAAGGGGATCAAATAATGCATGCAGTCTACAGGCGCCTTGGGACATTTGAAGTGGAAGATCAGATAACAGCAGTGAGGTAAAGTGTGTCTGAATGTTCGGTCACCTCTGTTATGTTGCCTGGACTATGTGATGTCATAATATTTGTTAAAAAAAATAATAAATGCCTAGTTTACTTGATGGTTTCATAGTTTTCTGAGAGTAATGAGTTCTGTGTTGTAGGAAATTCATTGGCATGGGTTTTATCGACAAAGACAGAATAGCAATATGGGGCTGGGTAAGTTGTGCTACAGTTTGTCTTGTTTCTTTATGTATTTTTCATACACTTGTTTATTATGTTTTGGCATTTATTAAATGTAATAAATTCTGATCTTCAGTCGTATGGTGGTTATGTGTCCTCAATGGCCTTGGGTGCTGGAACTGGGCTGTTCAAGTGTGGAATAGCAGTGGCCCCAGTAGCCAAGTGGGAATATTATGGTGGGTATACATGTGTGCATACTATAGAGTATATTTTCTCTGAGGAATGTATTCCTCCTTTGCTGCCATTGCTGCAGTGTAGTAGTCCACTGTTTTAGTATTGTACTCTTGCCATTCCTGTACTTGCTTGTAACTATACATGTGTGCATCATGGCAACGTCACATGTGCTGCTTTTCTTGGGAGCATTGGTTGTGCCGCTTATTTAAAATTAACGCTGCAGGTGAATCCCAATTATGTTATTTCACCAAAGTTTATGGACAGAAGCCCCTTTATTGTAAATCAGTTGGTGTTTGAATTCTTCTGATGAAGGATCAGAGGAAAGGGTGTCTCATGTCCATTTAAATGCATCCTTGAGACCTCCCTCCTCACATTTTATTTGCCTATTATCCTGGCATCTTACTGTATGTAGGCAGGGCAAAGTTGCAGGGAAAAATGCAAGTGAGGGAACCAACAATCCATATGAGTCTTGAGAAACATCCTAGGTGAATCCCAGTTTCCTAATTTTTATCAGTCCTTGATCCTTGCTCGACCTGGAAGTTGTTCCGGTCCACCATGATGATGTCCTAAAGCTCTTATTTACATTTCTGAAGGGCAAGGAGGCTATGTGGAGGAGCTTTAACCGAGGATACATCCTTCATGGAATTGTTATAGATTGACATCAGAGGCAAGGACCTCTCATGTCAGATAAAACATTTTCTCAGTTCCTCTCTCCTCACAGTTTGGCCTTGCATCTTACATAGGTCAACTAAGATGCAAGGAAAAGACTAAAGTTAAGGAAATGTGGGTGTAGGGGAATTGGGGTTCACTTCCTGTGTACATGAGATACAATTCAGCACGTTACCAAAGGAGGATAGTATCAGGCATTGAGGTCAACAGCAATTTTGAATCAACTCAACAATATCATAATGATATGAAGAGAAATTCATAGTTTGTCAACCTGATGCTGCAGTTTCTCTGGCATCACTGATACTGTAACCTCCTCGAATGTTGTGGTTTGTGTGCAAAAGTGGACTTTCTCAAGAAAGCTGCTTTAATCCAGGAGTTATTCGACCCTAATTTGTGCTCTACTGTGTGTACTTTTTAACCCTCCAGATACACATAAAGTATGCAAGCAAATATATGAACAATTACACTAATGTCTTCCAACATTTTTACAAATCAGTCCAGCAGAACCATTATTGTAAAATGTTTCTGCTTGAAGAATGTGGTATTCAAATCTGTTTTTATTTCTAGGAAAACCTTTTATTGTTGAACTGTGATATACAATAGCATATTGTTTCAATAGTGTATATACTGTACAATTGTGGTATTAACTTAGTTTTCCTTTGTAGATGCAGTATATACTGAACGTTACATGGGCAAACCCACAGAAAATCCAGACCATTACAAAGTGAGTATCACACAATACTTTCAAACTACTGCACATTTCAGACTTGAAGCATATGTCAGTAACTGAATTTTTTTATTTTATTTTATTTAATAGAATTCCTCAGTGACAGCCAGAGCAAAGAACTTCAAAACAGTAGATTATCTACTAGTTCATGGCACAGCGGATGGTATGTTCAGCATTTCAATCAAATACTGTTCTTTTCAGTTTCTGATGTGACTTGAGGATGGGGTAGCCCTGTTTCTCATCAGTGTACCAGGTGACACCATAAGGCCTTGCACAAACTTGAGCTTTGATGTTCAGTCACGTAGTGAAAGCGCTGTCTTTCCTGTAGACAATGTCCATTTCCAGCAGGCAGCACAGATCTCTGCCGCCCTGGTGAACGAACAAGTGGACTTTGAGGCAATGGTAAATATTAGCTTGGGGAAGTGGGATGAATATTGAACTTGATGGTGTTGCTTTAATAACAGGTGTAAATGGGAAAACAACTGCCTTGTATTATGTAAAGTAAAAATGTATGATTCATCAAACATTTAATTTGATCGTGTTAATTGAAATTTAGGATTTTGGAGCCTGTGCACTGATCAGATTTTGGTATTTGTTTCAGTGGTACACTGATAAGGACCACAGGCTCAGCGGATCCGCCAACCTTCATACATACACCCTCATGAGTAACTTCCTGCAGAAATGCCTCCTTAATCCCAAATAAACGTGAAGAATGTGAAAGCATTTGTAGCGAACATTACTGCAGGTTTTTTTCTAATTTGTATACTTCATATCTTACTAATATTCTGAGATGTCAAGTTTTTATAGGCAATGGATATTCAGCTAAAAATACCAAAAGCTTCAGCATGCATTTATGGTTGTGAATATGATAAGTGATTGTTCTGGAGTGGTATTGGTTTGTGTTGCAGCTGTGAACAAATGAAAGTCAAATAAATGTTGTTTTGTTTCATTATTTTTTTTCTTGTCAATTATCTTAACAGTTTGTTCAAATGAGTTGTCCATAGATCATTAAACATATTCTGCATCAAAACAATAAGTTTGTATATTTTCCTCTCTCAATAGGCAGCATTTTTTTAAATGTAGTGAATAAAACATATGCCCAAATTTGTATTGTATAAAGAATAACGGATGAAAATGAAATTGCTGTTTCTAACTACATGGTTACTCTACAATAGGAAAAATAATATATAACGTGACCACCAGGCACCGAGATGTGACTGTTTAAACATACTGTATATGGGTGGCCGTATTTGTCACTGTTCATTTGTTAGAGTAGAGGTTTGATCGTGACGTCTAAAGAAGCCGGTTTTCTCAGATGGTACTTTTTTTTTTTTTAGCCAAATACACTCAGCAGAGTGAGACGGAAGCTGATTAATGGGTTGAGAGTAACAGGATGTGCTGATGTTTCTGTGACGGAGGAGTCACCTGAGAGAATGCTCCTCAGCTTCACTATATAAGATGGAGCAGATCAAGAAGGCACCGTGAAACAGCTCCAGAAGCCAAAAGAGAAGAAAGGCACCAAACAGCCCACTTACAATCTCTCACTCGGACGCTCAACAGAAAAGTACCACAGGTGAGAATGTTTGTGTCTTAATCCTTTTTAAAATCTGTGATACCTTGTTAAGATAAAACGTAATTATTTTATGTTTTATTGAAATTTTCTCACGGTGTCGTATTTCAGAGCTCAAACGATGAACAGCGCTCACTCTTTGGCTGGACTCTTGCTTCTCATCATCATCCAAAGCAGCTGGCAGGTGCCTGACCAGGACACAGATCGAAACTCCATGTAAGATGAGTTTTCAGCTTTTTTCTCATTCACACTGGCCTTAACCCTCCACTAAAGATCCTTTATAAGAAGAGTGTCACCATATGAATACGTGATGTCCTGAGTGTTTCACATTTATACTAAAGTGCAAGTAAATATTTCTATTTTTTGTGTCATCTGTGGTTCAAGCATGTTTTTGAGAGTTGCAACATGGTGTGAAGGCAATTCATCAAAACTTTTTAATGGCAGCGCTGCAAAGTTTTTTTTTTATCAGTTTGACAAAAATATTTGCGGAACTACATGCAGAGGATACGTGTGTTGTCAGACTGCACTGCCACTGACAGTTCCACATGTTGCATTCAGAGTATCAGCCTTTAGGGAACAGGATTCACAGAGCATAGTGAATAGCAGAGAATAGTCCAAATTTAATTTATCATTAATTCAATTGAAATTGTTGATAAGGAAACGTGTAGATAAAATTTATTGTCACTTACATTTCAGGGAAGTTATGTGAGATGGTTCTTTATCATTTTTTTAACAAATATGCATTTTAACATCTGCTTTGTAGTGTACTTTTCTCTTTTGTTGCTTGTTATCTTTTAATGTTTTCATAATTTTAATGTGGTTTCACTGTTGTTTGTAAGGAACCATAGCAGTTATTCATAGAATATAAAATATGCAAAATAATTGCTGAGTCCCGTTAAAGATTTTGTCACACATGGCGACCACAACATCAATGAGATCCAGATTCACAGTAATGATAACGATGTATCCTTTTCTAGGTTATTGTCTGATAACTCCATAATGACTGAACCCATTGAGCTCCCAAACGTGAAGAGACATTCAGAGGGAACATTTTCCAATGACTACAGTAAATACCTAGAGACGAGAAGAGTACAAGACTTTGTCCAGTGGCTAAAGAACTCAAAAAGGAATGGGTGAGCGTGTCCTTTTATTGCTGAATCTTTTCACTTTGGTTTCATACTCTCAATTATTTCAAACATACAGTAAGTCAGCTTTGTTATATACTGTGAAAACCACATCTATATATGTGGCTATAATTGCATTAATTTTGTAAATTGTTTTATGCCTCTCGCTTTGGATTTGAACTATTGCTGTGATTTTAAGTGAAATCGAACTTATACCAAAACCATGTTTCTTATGTTAATGTGAATGTCAGTCTTAGCCTTTTGTAGCACAGTTACCTTACATATACAGGATTGTGTCTGTATTTTCTAATTTGTTTCTACAGGAGCCTGTTTAGACGCCATGCAGATGGCACCTTCACCAGTGATGTGAGCTCCTACCTGCAGGACCAGGCAGCCAAGGAATTTGTGTCCTGGCTGAAGACCGGCCGAGGTAGAAGAGACTAGACTCAGCCAGAGAGCGCCACTGGCTTCCTAAATAATACAGCAATTCTTACTGGCTCTGTTGTACGTTTCACATTCTGTACCAGCCCTTTTCTTGGTCATACTATTAAATTCCCCTCATAAGAAACTCTGTTGGCCTTCTGGCCTTCATTAGTTGAAGGAAGTTTTATCAAAATGCAAAACATTACAGTACTGTATGTTTCAATAATAAGTTTGATAATTACATCTCTTGATAGTCTCAGTACCTTGCATTATTATTTTGAAAAGTAATATTTAGCTTCCAATAAAGAAATTAATGAGTTTCCTCTTTTAAAAAAATCCATTTTGAAATATTGGTTTGATAAGAATTACTCTTAGCAAGGAGCTCCCACATATCTGTAGCACAGAATATAAATCCTGAATAAAAATGATGTTGAAGGCACTGGATCTACCTGTTAATGTCCATCAGTAAAATAAAGATTAAAAAAAACATTTTGCTTAGCTGTATGAGTATATTAAAGCCGCTGAATGTGAGCTTCACCATTTGGCCAAAAAATAAGATTTGACAATGAGCCACTGGTTTTTCTCCTTTTTATGGATGAAGAACAAAAATCGCTAAGAACATTAGTCTCCGGGGAGTAATGTGCTCTAGGATTCCTACCAGGTAACAAGATGATGTGTGTCAGCTGTTCACTGGAGAAGGATTTCCCAGTGATGCCTGACAGCACGCCAAAACGGGTTATGCTAAATGAAAGAGAAAGAAATCATGTCAATCAAGTGGGACTCCCAGGGAACAGTAACTGGGTCAACACTCTTGAGCTCTTCTTGGCACTGAGACAAAACAAATTCACATAAGCCAACCATTTGACATGCTCAGGGATGTGCCACCTCTCTAAGCTGTCATGCATAGCATATTAGACCATCTGTTGATTACAAAAGTCCTGCCGACTCTGGTCAAGGCCAAATCTCTGAGGGTTATAAATGGGCATTCATGCTTGGTGACACTGATACCGGAGGTTTCCTCCATGTCATTCTCCATGCACGTACTACGTCAATACAGTGGCGTGACGTGCACCTACATACTTTTGTCTGATATGTGATTTGAACCAAAATAATACAATATTTGGCATAAGTTGTGGTTACTGATCAAGCATTCACAAACATCTTTTGTAACACTTAAATACAGGCTTTTGCTGAATGGACATATGTGGCGCTTACCATAAATAAATTAGGAGTTATGTATTTGATAATGTGATTATTTAACACTTAATGGTTCAAATAGTGATTGTTGCCGATTGCTAATTCACAGTTACTTCGTACAGTACATTCATACCCTATGTAATACTCTTTACATACTCTATGCAGCCAGTTACTGTACATGGAAAAAGGCATTTGAAATCCATGTAAGAGTGACTTAGTTAATTAGTTTAGTTTTTGTTGATTTTTTTTTTTTAAAGTTGAAGATTTGTGATTTGTGATATTAGTCTTTATAAATAAAATTGACTTGACTCGCCATAACTTTATCATTACATCACACAAAATCACCATTACTTTCCAGTTACCTGATTGATTTGTGCCTCCTCAAGGAAAGTCATACTAATAATAATTAGCTAAATATTTCTTTCATTCACTAAAACTGAGTAAGAATAGGTCCTGCTCTATGAATTAATAACTGTGATTTAACAATTATTAATGCTCTATTATTGTGTTAACTAATCACATACTTAACCTCTAGAGTCCCTGCGTCCTCATATGAGGACCGCACAGCTTGGGTTTCCAAAGCTCAGGACTCTAGAGGTTAACTTGCATTGATTTAATCATTTGTATTATTTTCTATGTCATGGTACCCGATATCCTGCATCAGTCAATAAATCACAGGTCATGCATTAGCTAGGAAATTCATAACTAATGCATGTACTGTATTTATAAAATTTTATATATTTTCCATCCCACACTATCAGTCTACATGTGACAAAGACGAGGCAAACAAGAATGCTCATAGAAATTTATTAAGTTAAAATAACATTGACAAGATTGTGTTTTTCAAAGGAAACCAATTCCCAGTTCTTTATACACTCCAAATTAATGAAATGCCCAGATGTGGAACAGAACTGAGATGTCTTTAGGGTTGAATGCCTTAATGATGAAGCTTCTTAATTAACGATATAAACTTAACTTCATACCACTTTTAAAACAGATTGACATTTTTCACATTTACAATTAATTTATATTTACAATACACTGTAAGCAATATACTGTCACCAGGGAGCAAAATACTGCAAGTCTCTGTTAGGCTGCAATGTTTTCTGTAGTAAACATAGTATTGTTTTCTCCACAAAATAAATATAGATAAATAATTTCTCATATAAATATGTATTTGATTATTGATATTCTAGCATGCTGCTATCGCATTTGGGTTTTTAGTAGATGTATATTCCCCTTTAGAAAATAATTTATATCACTCATTCCCAACTTAAGATTGCCAGTCACAATCAATGGGTGCAATTCAAAATTTGCAGACTTTTCACAGTATAGGAATTTGTACACATTTAAATATGGCTTTTCAGAAAGTTTCTATGGTCAAGAATTACCTTAAGATTTTAAGACGTATAACAATGCTAATAGAATTGTAACAATGCTAACACATCTTCATATCTAATTTCAAATCACATTCAATGCCTAAATAGAACATAAATAATAGGATATGATGAAATGATGGTATTTCAAAATACAACATGTAAAACAAAATAAATACAAATTGATCCCAAACCAAGAACCTGACAACAGTCTCATAACAAGACCAAGCTTTTTATATGTTGTATGTAGTTTACTGTGTAGCAATAGCATCTAGATTTATTAAGTACAATTTGACATTAACAAACACAATAAAAGTTTAATGTAGGTTTCACTGGTTCATGAAGAGGCAGAATATTTGTGATGCATCACATAACAAGGTCATCCACTTATGCACAGTTTTACAAGACTAAACTTGAAGGATTGACAAACTGCAGCGCACAATGCAGATTTGTTTACAAACACGGAGAAGAGACAGCGACAAAGACTCAACACTGACCATCATCTTCAGCTTACATTTCTCATCTTGCACTCTCATTTTGTGAGGAAATACTGTGATGCACTGTTGGAATCAAAAATAAAACCACACCTTAGTAGATATACATATTTACTTAGCATATTTTGTATTTTCTGTTCAGGAGACTTGTGTCATCAGCGGTGGAAGAAGTAATGAGCATCTTAGGTAAGTAAAAGATGCAACTCCAGAGTGTAAAAACACTCAAAATAATACAGTAAAAACAGTAAAGAACAAAAACCCCTAAATCTGATAAGTGATTAATATAAAATCTAAACTCCACAAATAAGCAAGCTCATGCCCAGTGAGTTGTGTTCATATTGAGAGGGATGGACTTAGGGAGTTCTATAAATTATAATAGCCACAGATAAATATAAAGCATATTCCACCAGAACATGAAGCCAAAGAATTAATGAGCAAATGACAGCCAACCTAGTGGACAAATGCTTGCATTATTTCCTTACTGAATTGTTTATTTAAGCTTGGTGCCACATATACTGCAGTGGAGACTTATTATTTTATTATTGAATGTGAAGTTACTGCAGACTTGTTTGTTTCCTTATTTTGAAGCTGCTCCTACTGTTTTTGAGTCCAAAAGATGTTGCTTTTGTGATATGCAATAACCAACCATATTTTTGATCATCTTGTCCGAACTAGGTTACGGTATAATAAGCTTCTGTATATTCAAAAATATATTAAATCTTACCATGATTTCAAGTCTTTCTCAAATGTGTTTCTCAGCTGTTAGCATTCCAAGTATTTCCAAAGGAACCTTTCGACATTTCATCTGTAATGTTGATGATGGGTATTCCTCTGTGAAAAGAGAATCCAGGAAATATTTTACAAATGTGTACATGAACTAGAATTCAGAAAATAACTGCTAGCTTTTACTTTTAAAACATTTAACTTACTTGTACCCCTCTAATGGCACTTGCACGACTCCCTCGTCTTCTGCCAGGATACTCTGCTCCTCCTCCTCCTGAGGGGTGAAGAAAATCCAGTGTAAATACATGTGAATATTCATAAAATGAAATTAACACTTATGTGTATGTTGTGGTGAGAGGAACAGCACCTCTTCAGCATCCTCTAGCTTCTTCTTCTTGCTTTCTGGCATGAGATCATCCAGCCAGCTCAGCTCTCTCTTGGTGAAGATACAATCCATTAGTTTCCTGATAAACACCAGCGCCAACACCTGCAGGATTGACAGACAGAATCAAAACAGCTGAATCCACAAAAATCATATGTGCTAATGAACGACCACTGGCGGAGCAGGAAAAGGTGGAGTGTGCAAAAAAAGAAGCCTGGATTGGTTTAAATGATTTCCATTTGGGGAAGGTCATAAATGTACTTAGAGGGTGTAAGAAACATGTAACTTTGTATGAACATATTTTGTCTCCTGGCAACACCTGCACAACATAGATGGGAAGTGCTGGGTATTTTTGGGATTCAATAACTGTTTACACACCATCAAAGGAAAGACAATGGCAGCCTCGGACGTCTTGATCACCCAGAGCAGAACCAAACAGCTGAGCTGGATGATGGTGAAGAGGTGCACCTTCCTCAGGGGTACGTGTCGTAGATAGATGAAGTCTGGCTGGTGCTTGGCTGGCATACCGAACAGTGTCAGACGGTCAAAGAACTGGAGAGGATAAATGATAAACAATTCTTAAGTGATTTTTTCAAAATTGAGATATGTATAATTTGAGTTACAACAACCAGCCACTGTTTTAAACAACGCAACAACAAAATCTCTGATAAACCTACAATACACAACATCTAGCGGGCTAAAATAAAACCTACTTGGTGTTTGCTGGACTAATGGCTGGCTGTTTTTGTGCCTTAATTTAAATAGACTTTTCCAAACCAATAACAGGCAGTCTTCCAAACCGAAGAAAATAAGAAGTAAACAGGGCAATTAAATAACAGTCAGGTGTTCTGTAAATACTGGGAACACACTAGAGGCCAATTAACACTTTTTATCTGGGCAGCCAGACAATATGGAGGCGATCCCCTATTAAGGCTCAGCGAGAATTAACCGTCTATTCAGATTATCTGATAGGAGGTTTTACACATTAACAACACTGACCAGTTCTCTGTCAAGTCTCAGCCACACAGATCATCTCAAAAACGTTTGATGTTTACAAACCAAATTCTGCAGGTTATGTTAATTAGGTTTTTAATTTGCAGGTGGAGATCACTGTTTTCCTGCCTGGCATGAGCAGTCGAACCGCAAAATTAAAAAATATATTTTTTATAAAAGAATCAAAATTACTAGAACCACAGACAATTTCAAAGGCATCTATAACAAATATCAAAAGACGCAAATGTTGCATGTGTGTTTGATACAACGTGAACAAAAAAAGAGCTGCATTAAATACAGAGAATCATTTTACCTGAATGCCTCTGAGAGAAGATGCTCCCATGTAAAGGAATACTCCATACAACACAGGCATAGGAATGAACTGAAGAACAATAAAAGGATTATATCAATAGCACTATTATGTATGTACTGCACTCCATATTTAATCAGAGAATAATAAATATCTTCAGGATAAAGATCTGAGAAATGTATAGTACAACAACAGAGTTATACTTTAAGTTGCATTCAATAATACTGAGAATGGACAACAGTAGCACAAAAACAAACACAACGGAGAAGTACCAAAAAGACCTTGTCTGACCTTCAGTACAGAGGTCATGAAGACAGAGCAACCCATGAGGGTAAAGATCATGAGGCCAGTAAAGCGTTGCTCTCTGATGCCAAGGAACTTGGGTTGCTCCCCAGGAGCTGAGCACTCTGACTCCAGCTTCAGGCTGTTGACGTGGGAGATGGAGAGGACAGTGGCTGCTACAAACCAGGGCAAGCCCATTAGAGAGCACACGCCAAGCATCACCCCCACCATGAACAGATCCAGGTGATACCCGCAGCCTTTCTGAAAGTGGAAAACAACCCTGAAGCTGTAGAAGCTATACTATACAAGCCATCTTATTAATGCCGTTTGCAACCAGAGGCAACCAAAGCTTGGACAGGAAAGTACCTTCAGCTTATTTTCCTTCCTGTTGATGATGACAGCTGTGATCTGCTGGTCCATGAAGATGAGGATGGTACAAAGCAGAGCCGGGACCACTGTTATAATTGCTGTCCACCAGGGGTTGGGCCCCAGTGGGTTAATGAACCAACCTCGATCGTCTCTGGTTGGCTGAAAAAGTATTGTTGGTTTGGTGTAATTAGTAGTTTGTTACTTATCACTTTGTTGATAAAAACCGGTTTAAAAAGTTTGTGTGACTAGCTCACCTTAAACACGTTGGGTACCTTTAGTTTTGGAGAAGGAATCCCCAAGGCATAGTCGACTAGGACCATCGTAAGAATTGTGAAGAAAACCGCAAAGTCACTGATGATGGACCTCACCTGATAGAGATGAAAAACATTCAAAATGTCCTTCAATCATACAGTTTAATTTATTTCACCCAATGTAAACTCAAACTGAAAGCTTACAGGATGCAGGACTCCTCATTTAACATTATCTATTACTTGCTACAATGCAGTACCTGCACTTAGCCACTAGAGTGTATCACTGCACTGTGCTACATAACCAAACTGTTTAATAACAGAGAAAGGAGCTTTAAATTCATGCCTGGAACACTAATCACACTATTGTGAAGGTACCTTTGTAGGAAAGTAACTGCTGAACTTGAACTCCTTGAGGAAGGCAGACATGACGATGGTAGAAAAGAAAAGTATAATGCACCAGAAGAGGACGTCAGGAATGTAGGGGCCGTGAGGGCCACAGGCGCTGCCCATAAACTCCCCTTGCTTTTCAATACAGTCCTGCAACACCACATAGAGTTCACAGTTAGTCATCAGCAGACTTTAGGCTTCCACAAACAGGAATTTATAAGCATCCATGTCCACAAAAAACCTTAAACTGGGTATTTTTTATCTGCTTTTATAGTGATTTGCAATGAGTAATCCAATATAATCCGACCCATGTGCCCTTAATCTTCTCCTTCCATCTTCCTCCATTTGGGAGAGCATGCCACTTTGAAACTGAAAACTGAAATATATTCTTTTCAGTTCCGTTGTGTGCACATAAAACCTCTATAGCTGATAGATCTGGGGAGTTTTTTTTCTGCTTTTTAAAACTAAATCATGTGAATACAATAATACCTTGACCTCCAGTGCCTCCCAGTAGATTTCTGAGGAAGTGATGTTGTTGAGCTCCCAGTACTTCAGGGTGCCATTGGTGGGGTCAGAGGGCTCAACACAAGTACATCTGTTGATGCAACAAGAAATGTAATTGGTAATTACGACTTTAAATAGTATAGATAGTATGAAATTAAGTGTCAACATACGAGTACATGGTGAGTTTGTCCAGGTTGTTGTTCCTGTTAAAGGGATACTGCTCCCCCAAGTGGATAAGTTTCTCCAAGGCTTCGTAGATAAAGATTATGCAGATGAGTGAGGCGAAAGCTTCCTCTGTAAAACGTGTGATGTAACAGACGAGGGAACTGGCATCTGTGGCCACCAGCATGATACAGAGGAAAGCTGTCCATAGACCAATACAAGTCCTCAGTGACAAATAGGACAAGCCATACTGCCTGTGTGGAGTAAAAACAAGGAAAAATCACTATGCAACATATCAAACTACATCATGCATTGATTATTTACTGTTTGTAATGTGGCAGAGTGGGAAAAGTCATAATCACTGTGAAACACAATGGTATTTCATCTATACAATCATAACATTAAATCATCTATAGGAGAGATGTTCGTGTTCACAGACGCTATCACCCGGGATAAACATCAAGAGGTGTAATTTATTGGATATTGAGTGAGATAATTTATGCACACAGTCGTATTAAAACAAAACGTACCTGCAAAATTTGTACAGTATCTTTTCAAATACTAGCACCGGCCCTGTACTGCCCAGAATGGTAAGGGGCTGCCCAGCAAACAGGGAATAGGCCAGTCCAGTCAGTGAGGCCCCAAACAGTGATTCAATTGCACTCTGGGGAATGAAAAGAGGAATGAAAGTAAAAATCTTTTCCATATTGAACTATAACTGTTGTTTGGTTTGATGTAATGAAAGGCTAGTACAGTACACAGCAGTGTACAGCTACGCTTGGCAGAATATTATGAATGTTTAGAGGAAAGAGCAGATAATTTACTATGCGTCCTTCTGTTGCCTCGCCGAGTAGTCCTCCAAAGGTGATGACAGGGGACATGCAGGCACAATAGAGGAATAGGAAAGAGGCCACACACTGCAAACTAATGGCATCAGAGAAGTCGGACAGGTAGTGGGGTACTTTTCGCTTGATGTCCATAATGAGACCACCAAACCACCTGGAAGTGTCAAAAAGGACAAGTTCAACTGTATAAGCTTTAGCATTATTTCTGAGAAGTGTGTAAGATTTTTTGATTCTTCCCTGCCTTGCTTTGCCTCTGCTGCCCTCTTCCCAGCTCTGAGTATGGCTCAGAGAGAAGCCCACTGTAGCTGCAAATGCAGATCTCAAGGGTGTTTCTATGGTAACCATTCTGTGACTAAAACTACAGACCAAGTTTACCCAGAAACAGACAATCAACATGACAGCATACAGTTGGTAGGAAAGTATGGGCTCGATTTGTGCATTTTAGAAAACAAGAAAGTGTCAAGTAAACCTTAAAGTGGATTTATTTACCTACATTTTATCCACATTTCCAGGCAGTATAGAGCCATATGCCAAAATGAGTATATTTATCTCATACCTAAAGAACAACACTAAGCACTGAAAACAAAATATAACTTTTTAAAAACTCGTTTGAAGAAGCAGACTTACAAAATCACATTGTATTTAACTACACTGTAGGAAAACAGCAAATTACACTAAATACATTGTAGTGTGGAGCTCAGAAGGCTGAGTCGTCCATTTGTAAAGAAATTCTCTAGGTTCTGCGTGTTGTTTTTCCCTTTGTGACTCTCCCACCTTCCAGTGCGTTGCAGTTCTGGACCCCCGTGGCCACTGTTCTCCTCCTCCTCATCACCCTCTACTAATCCGTTAGGTATATTTGTACTTTTCTTCCTTTTTTCCTGTTTAACAAAGAGTGCACAGCTATTAGTCCTTTTTAAATTACACATTCATGAGATATATAAATCCAAACAAGAAGAAAAGAAGGCAATGAGCCAAGTGAAGTCTTACTAACCTGGGAAGGTATATTTTTTGGTGGCTCTATCCGTATGGATGGGTCCCATTCTCCTGGAGGCAGAACTGTCACTTGATCGAGGAATTCGTCAATCCCAGCAATCAAATCGTTTCGGTCTTTAGCTTTATAGGCAACATCATGAAAAACCTGGAAGCAAAAAAGTATGGTTGGCTTTGAAATGCAGCCCTGACTTAAGCCTTAACTGAGAACTGCATTGCACATGACCTTCGAGGGGCATTTACTGTAGTATAAACTTTATAGATTCATGAACATTTAAATGGAGAAAATGAAAAAAATACATATTCACGTATGAGCAGTTGAGTATCCGGTCAGCCTAACCCATATAAACTATGTAAAACACACTATACAAACTCCTCACAGACAGAAGCAAAGGTAGAATTTTAAAGCCCAGGATCCTACTGTGAAGCAGTTATCAGCTCCCTCACTATACTCCCCTGTAAAATGTAGAGTTTCCTCAAATCTACACATTCCAAAGAGTGTAAAATAAAGTCTGGACTTCGTCAAAGCTGAGCTCGTCCTCACTGATGATGGATGGCAGCTTAAATCCTGGACATGAGGGCTGACTAATCGCCAGAAGCATGTCATCAAAGATCCGTGCTGTGTTTCATGCTGAGAAATGTTCCATCACTTCAGGACTTTGTTGTGTTCTGCTGGACTGTGAATTTATGCAAAGTGCCGGCAGAAAATCTGAGTTTGGCATCTGGTTGACACTCAAACCAATCCACCCTTTTATTTTAAAAACATTAATGAATAAATAAACCCTAGAAGCTGCTGACTCTTAATAAGGCAAATTCTTACCTCATCTGTCATAAGTGTTGCAATGGACCTTCCAATCTCATGATATTGAGGCCCTCTTCCCAAGGGCCCCAGGAGAACAAACAGAAACCTAAAGGCAAAAACAGATTATTTAAAATACATTTCCATCACATTGGCTCAGCACAATGATATGCGCAGGTGTGGTTGAATCGGGCTGTAACCTTGTGGCGATAGGGACTTCAGCCAGCCCACTGAGCATGACCGCATGTGAAAGACGGACAAACGCCACCACCGGCTTGGTCAGAAACTCCACCTCTCCCACTAACACGTTACACGCTTCGGCCCCTGGTGGGATCTTCTTCATGAAATGAAGGTCTATCTGAAAGAGGACACAAAGTACAGTGTATTTAGTATCATATGAAAGGCCTTGATACCATGTCCAGTCTAAGCAGCTTTGACTGAGGGCATGCTTGGAAAAGATAAAGAGAATCATTGCAGTGAACTCTAAACAAAGGTCCTGACTTTTGTAATACTTGGTTATAACCTTAATCCCTTACTAGATGATGTTTCTATTAAAAGTACCAACAAGGGCCACCTGTTTATTGTTCGAAACACGCAATTACATAAGTCTGCTCATATTTATCAAACATGATGTACTTCTAGTGGGGTAACTATTGCATTTGAGTAAAAGTAAGAAATTATGCAAAGCATCAAATAACTCATCTGTCTTGTTCTGTTTTCTTTCTTTTTTGTTTGGGGGTAATTGGAATAGTTGTGTGTGGATTTTTGTTAGTAATTAAAAGTACACATTACATAGAAAAATGGAAATACTAAAGTACAACATTATGTATGACTTGAGAAACACCATATGTATTATAGTGCATCTGTACACTCTTTGTGCTTTACTGTACCTTGCTAAAGTCCACGGAACTGTTTTCTCTGCTGATGTCTGCTTTCCCATCCGGACTCGCTAACTGAGACTGGGAGCATGTCATCGGACCTGGATAATTCGGAGAGGTGGAGTTATTAACCAACAAAACTGAATTTCAGCCAGTGAGTTCACTACATATCATGAGATGGGCCAAGCATAGAAAGGGAAACAACAGTGAGGGCCACAAACAGATTTTTACAGTTTTTTTAACGGTGTGCATAAAACCACTCTTTTTCATCGCTGTTGTTTCAAAAAAAAAAAAAATCCAAGCTCATGTTAATGTGATTAACTGCCAAGCTGCCTGACAGGTCTGGTCTAATTTCTGTATTCATTAAACAAGAGGGTCAAAAATTAACACTAATTATAGTGTTTAATAAGCTCACAAAGCATGGAATGGAGCTTATCAGAGGATGCTGCTTTGAAATTAGTTTTAAAATGCCACACCAGTGAAAATAAATTGTTCATGGTGTGTCACTAAGATCTCTAGTATACTACACAGTGATTTAACGGTTTGGTGTGTTCTAGGTACCTAATTTTGTTATGTGTAATTCTGGCAAACCTGAAGCTTATGAAATGTAGTTGGCAATAATATACTGTAGCAATACTTCCAATAATGAGCCTGTTCTGGACTAAATATACCCCACAATTCAACTAAACAGTTCTAGTACTGTGAAAATCAACAGCAAATAAATGTGTATATTTATAGAATCCACTTATGAGCATTGTTTTTTTTTTGGTCAACTCTTTTCAACCAATAATACATGTTGCCAATATCAACACAAACCTTGAGAATACTCCCCCTACAATATGTTTTTAAGTATAAGCTGGTAAAGGGGTGAGGGCAGGCTGTTTAAACCAGCACCTGTTGACTTCAGTGGGGCTGTGGCAGGTGGGTGGACAGATGGTGGGTGGTGGATAGAATCAGGAAGGAAGACTTAAGCCCATATGTGTATAAGACGTATTCACATATTCCATATTTGCAACCAGATTCATTACAGAATCCAGTAAAGCAGCAGGTCCCAACATTGTTGAAGTAAAAACAATAGTAAATATATATATTTTTCTTGTTTTCCCCTCCTGTCCTTTCCTTCCTATCCTATCTCTTAAACCCTCAGATGTACTTGAAACCCTTTAGGTGGTCCCAATCCCAGGCTGGTAACCAGTGCGATAAAGGGATCACTGTTCTCTGGTTTTCTTACTATTTTTATCCAAGTGGAGCTCTGACGCCCGTCGACCCATGTCGGCAAAGGAGCGCACAATTGGTAGGCGGTTAGCCAGCTTCTTCTGGTTCTGGTGATGGTGCTGCTTCAGCAGTGTTTCCCGCACTTTCTTTCTGAGCTCATCACCCAGTGGTGAGTCTAGCTCCTGGTGATCCAACACCATGTCTAAGAGAGGCAAAGACAGGCTGTTTGGTGTCATGTTTCATGGTTCTTGCTGAGAAACTGCTGCCAGTGTGACTTGATTCAAGGAATTTTAAAAGATGACTGGTCATTTTCTATATTCTAGTGCTGGGGGCAGAGAGACACTTGGTGGGGTCCCCCAGAATGCCCTTCTGGGCAGAATGTATTTAGTTCAGGGTTGGTGGGGATTGTTCAGTGTTTTGGTTGTTGGTGCAGTTGCTCACTTGTGTTGTGTGCGTGACAATAAAACTGAAAAAGGCGACTTCTGTCTCCAGCATTTTCAGCAAACACCATTGTTGCTCAAAAACTATTAAAAGCATGTTAAGGAAACACATGGCTGCAGTGGCTAACAGACCAGACTATGTTGCCCAAAGGCTGTGAGCGGCCATAATTTCCTGAAGTTAGCACAAGGCAGAATCAACTACACATGCACTACACATGCGCTTCATTTTATTTACATTATGCTAGCTCGTCACTCTGGGGTCTGTGCTAATAAGGAAACATGTCACGCAGTGCAGCGGTGTGTTTCCTTGATGTGTTTTGAACAACAGTGGAGGTCTATGGCACAAATGAATAAGCTGAGCCAGGACTGACGGACATTAACCATGAGTATAAGCATTTTATTGTCAGTTTTAGTCTCTGTATGGGCAGTGTTGAAAATACTGTTAATATAGAAAATGACCGGTCTTATGTCAAAATCTGTCCGCCCGTTGAGATGTTTTCCCCAGTGAAAACTGTTTCCAGTAGTGCTCCTCTCCGTGGTTATGGTTAGGATAAGGTTAAGGCTAGGGGAAACACATCTTGATGGGGGAACAGATCTCAACACAACACCGGCCTTATCCTTAATTAACCAAGACGGCCTTTTCTGAAGTTGTTATTGACAAATCCAACAGCTTTGTCACTTGGTACTCTGGTGTATCATTGCTGTAGTTACCTGCAATCTCTTCAGTGGTATTAGCCTTCATGTCTAGTAGCACAGTGCCATTGATAATACAGCTGCGCAGCTCAAACAGACTGTGCAGAGACAGAGTGGCTACATAGGGTTTACTCCATCTCTCTCCTCCATCCTCAACATCCTCTTCAAACTTCAGCCACCTGTAACAGGAGTTTGAGCTGCAGTCAGAAGACGCCAACAAATATCAAACTGGCTGGCCATCTGTTGTAGCTGCAACCATTCATTCATCTCGCCCTCTTGCCCTCTCTCTCTCTCTCTGTGTTTCGCTCATTTACTCTGATTCCTTATTGCCTTATCAGGGTATCACTGTAAATAAAATATGTCTGATTTACCATTTTAACAGAAGACACTTAAACAATACTTACCAATTTATTTATGTAAAATCAATTCAGCACCTTGATTAACACCGACAGTTATCAAGAAAAAAAATGACAAACAGTTAATTCCCCTAGCAATTACAAGAATGAATTGCAGTTAGTTAATGTAATGGGAACATAGATACACAGCCTCATCTCTCATTAGTGTAAGTGGGATCACGGGCCTGACTGCTCCATTTAATCACATGTCACATAAGAATCTGACAGTACCTGGCGCTTTCCCTCCACTCAGAATCTTCTCCATCCTTTGCACAGATCACATCCATTTCTGTGAAGAGGTCATGAGGAATATGCTCCTCATCATCATCCTCAGCACCCAGTAGGAACTGTACTCTCTGGGATGGAGTGTCTGGGAATATAAGGAATTGCACACGACAGGTCCAAACTTAAGTTAATAAGAGATCATGAACAAAGGCAAAATACTTCTTTCTATGCTCTATTGCATGCAGGTCCATGATTGCAACCAGTACCATAAACAGGAGACTCTCCACCCTCGACCTGGGTGAGCACCTGGTCCCTGCTCCTTCTCCTGTGTTTGTTTCCATGGTGACGCTGCTTGCGATGGCTGCGGTGCCTGGTGCTGCCCAAGGGGACATGGACCCCAATGAAGAGAGTCCTGTGGCCTGGAGACAAGTCCCACAGTGGTTAAAGGTGGATCAACTAAAATGTGCCTTTCTGTGTGTATGTGTGTGTGTTTTCTTTTTATTTATTTTTGGGGGGGGGGCCTGAATCCAGCAGTTACTATCTTTGCAGGGACCAGCAATGTACCTGTAGTTCATTGAATTTTACAAAAATAATGGGGTGTAGGGTTAGAGCAAGTGTTGGCTTTGGTTAAGTGTTAGTGGAAGGGTTAAGGTTTGGCAAGTAGTGGTTCTGGATAAGGTTAGTGTAAGTCTCCTGGAAATGAATGAAAGTCTGTGTATGGACCCTGTAAGTGATGACCTTAATTCTGTTTGTGTAGATGTGCGTGCTCTCAGAAGCTTTGCAGATAATCATTATAATTTCACTGATGACAGTCCAAATGGGACTAAGAAACTAACAGAATGCACTGGGAAAACATTTCAATGAAGAATTATGAATAAGAGAAATCATAAATATATATAGACTGTATACATAAATATGTTCCCATCACTCTTTTGCATTTGAATTCCAATGTTGATGTGATTGAAACATCACTGAAATTCATTCCAGTCCATTTTTTATGACTATCTATAAAATAAAAGAGCGAATTGTCGAATGTTCACACTTAACAGCCAAATCCGAGTTGACCAACAAAACCCTTAGTCGGGTACAGCCCTAAAAAAGACCTTTTTACAGTCTGCTTTATGGAACCTGTACCAAATTATGCATGAGATAAAACAGAACATTTCATGAACTCTACTGGTTCTGTGAAAAAAGTGCAACTAATGTATTATGTAATGTGCTGGCTGCATACTCGGTTCATTAAAAGCTGTCCAGAATGAGTGATCTCTTACAAGCACACTAACAGCACCTGGCACTTTCCCTCCACTCACATTAACCCAAGTGAATCAGAATGTATTCAAATGAGTTTTTAACCATGTTTAAAAACATGTCTGAATAGTGCTCTTGGTTATAAAGTGGCATTTAAGATTATAATATGTATAGTAATCAAGTATGAAAGCATAAATACATATGGCTGTGACAATGAAAGTGTGAATTTATATTCAAATACAAGACGTGCGAAGCGTAATGTTGCAGTAATCAAATAATGAGAGATTTATGTTTGTATCATAGTTGCCTGTAAACTACTGCGTATAATATTCATGTCCCACATCTGTGTGAATTTGTGTTGGTGGTTGTTAATTCATGTATCCTTTCTTTTCAGCTGTTTCTAAATGTCATGTAGAACTGTGTATGTGTTTCCATGTTTGTGTTTGTGCAAGAGCTGCGTGAGAGAGACATAAAGAGAGAAAGCATATCTGTTTTTGCACTCCAAAGCAAGCCCACTCATCTCGCTGCAGTAAAACAACTACATACAGTACATACAGTGCTCTCCACAATGATTGCTATGTCTAGACATGACAATTAATTAAGCTATTCTTCAATCAGATAAGCAACTACTTCTCATCTCACAACTCAAAAGAATTCTCATGTGTTTTAAAGCAAAGAGCAGCTATCAATGAATCACTGCATTGATTTAAATCATTACACTGGTGCAAGAATATTGTATGTTTTCAGTGTAAGCTTAATTCCAGATCATTTCAAACCTACTGTGTCAATACACTTATCATACACACATACACACAACAGAGAGATATGAGAGACTCATAATTTACGATTATTTTGTAATGCCATACATAAAGGCTACCTGCAATATGACTGTATTCTATAGCTAAATATAGTGGAATGGTCTGATTCCTTAAAAGAAAAACAAAACGTCAACTTGAAATTTTAACGTTTTGAATGCTTCACTGAAAAAGCTGTCTGCAAGTGCAGATGGGGGCAGATACTAGTCGATAGTTACAGTACACAAAGCTACTCACTAGTACGGTTTGTATCTTTGTTTTGACTGTCCATGGATTTCAGTGACTATGAAATTACGGATGTGAACTCAGCTCACCCAGCTCCTGTTACCACTCTGCCTCCCACTCTGCTCTTATCTTTTAACTATGAAAAAGCTGTCAAGAGGAAAGCAGCAGTTGTAAGGACAGAGTGGGCGGGCTCAGTTGCAGCAGCCTTTTAGCGCCCCAAGCTTTGTATTCCAGATGTGTTCGGTGACATTTGTTACCTTCAAGATCTTCCTGCTCAAAGTTGGTTCTCTGCTGGGACCAGGTTCCTCCTCTGTCCACCACAGCCTCATCATCATTTCTCTGGTGGACAAACAGGCACAGACATATTACAAACATTACAAACATCATACAATAATCACAGTCATATAGAAACCTACTGTGCAGATAGTTAGAACTGGAATAAACAACATTTACAGTATATTAATGTACCCTGATCATAGCATGAAATGTAATGTTTGCTGACCTGGTGTTCCTTCACAGTAAAGGGCATTATGTACAAACACATTATCCAACTGAATAGCACAGTTGCCATGGAAACTAATTGCAGTCTCATCTTAAAGAGGAAAGAGTATCATCTTAATCCAAACAGAAGGCTTTTCACAGTGGGGACGATAAATATCCCACCACAATTAAGGTTTTAAGGTGCTTCCATTTCAGTGACCTACACTTTGTTAGGCTCAAAAGGCGAATGAATATGTGACTGTATTTTGTTAAAGTTAGAAAAATTAAATTAAATGTTTTGTTAGCTTTTTGATCTTTTTTTGAATTACCAAATTATCATCTTTTTTTTCTTCTACCACTTGCATGTATCCTGTTATATTCCAAAATAAATGGAGCTGCTGTGATGTTGTAGATGCCACAGAAATAAGGCTTGTATCCACTCTGGACATCCGCTCTACATGTGACTGTTGTTAATGAGCAATTACCACAGCTAGTTATAATTTTGTGGCAGCCCAACAACAGAAGAAGAAGAAGAAGAAGCAGGACAGACCATAGTAGGAGATGACTCGGAGCACATGCATCTACTTTATTAGAGTCACTGAGAAAACCAGGTTTCTGCGGTGTGAATGTTGCCCTGCTTATATAATAACCGAGAAGGAAGATGAGAGTGCGGAGGTGGTGAGAGAGAACCGGTATAACCAGCAGAAATCTCTATTTGTCATTTAACAGTGCATGCGAGGATACAAACTGGACACCTGCTTTTACCTCATTTTATAATTCCATGAGACTCATTAAAGCCTTGTAGCTTTTCAATGTCCCTTTATGAATCTGAATGCGCTACCACAATTCAGCTAAAATGTACTGATCCAAACAGTGAGCAGCCAATGTAATGAGGGTGCGAGGCAGCACAAGATCACCAGTGTAGAGAGGTACAGGGAAAGATCGATGTGGAGCGGAGGGATGTATCTGGCTAGAGCTGCACTTTGTCAGTCTACAGTACATAGGAACAAAACCAAAAGCCCAGTCACTGTATATGAAATGCTCCTTCATGGTGCAAAGGTAAAAAAAAAACTGAGGCAAACCTGGAAATATATAAATAAAAAGCTTTTACGATCCTATAGACTGAACTTCATATGGATAAGAGGCTGTATGATGCACATGAAACACCAATAAATCAAAACTGTTTGTTAGAAGAAAAATAAAGCAGGTGTTAGTCTTATATCTTTACCCCTGGTGGTCTAAAAGGTTGTTTGAGGGGGTGCCAGAGGAAAGGCATAATATTCATTTGAGAAATCATTTTGATGCTTTGATATTCACTTTCTTGCCATAAGGTAAACAAAGCGATTGATACCTCTGTCATATTTGTCTTACAGCGAGGAGATGGTTAGCGTAGCTCAGCATAAAGACTGGAAACAGCTAGCCTGGCTCTGTCCAAAGGTAAGAAGTTCACTGACTAATTAGCACATTATATCCTCTTTGTTTAATCAGTACAGGATCCAAAGTGGTAAAATTACAATCTGAAGTTTCTAGGGAGTTATCCTGTGGCTCATTCTTCACAGGGCATAGTGATGTTGTGGAGTCACTATCCATTACATTTTATGATGTTAAGGGCCTGAACTGACAAGCCTCGTTCATATGAACAATGAGGAAACATAAAATGAGTTGAAGTTCAAGGAAAACTATCATTGTGACCGCAGTGTACATCAAATAACTGATCTGCTGCAAGATTGCCAATGCTTAGATGTCAGTGGTGGGCACCCTGCTGGTGTTGGTGAGCGCACCAATGCAATGAACTTAAAACTCACTTAATGCTCTCACTGTAAATCCACAAAGAAACCGTGCATACAACTGCTTTTTCTAAGTGCGAGAGCGAATTGAGACTAGTTGTCCCTCATCAGAGCCAAAAAAAAAGTCAAAGCGCGTTTGAAACAGTAGGAATTTTTATCCTGTAAGCTCACTTGATATCAGTTTTTCCCCTGAGCCATCTTGACCACCAGTTGACCATCAAAGTATGATGATAAAGGTCACTGCTGTTCACAGCTGCAGTGCCACATGTGCCAGCCAAGCTGAAAGGCGGATGTTGATAATCCATCTACAAATAGACAGCGCATGAATCGGCATCCCTGCTCGGATTAAACTGCCAGTATTTGTTACTAGAACACCAGCCACATTAGCCCATATTAAATGCACTGTAATATCCGGCGCTTTAACTGTGAATCACGGAATATCTGAGGACAAGATATATATATATACAGTCACACTGAGTTCTTGATGAAGCTCTTTAATGTCAATAGGACATTAAAGATCCCTGTGTGCAGCATTGTCATAGGCCTTCCTGTAGTTAATCCAGGCCTTACTCAGGTTGGTCTGTCTGTATCTTGAGTCATTGGTGACTGCTCTGTCTATCAGCAGCTGGTGCTTTGAGCCCCTGTTGTTGTTCCCAATGCCCTTCTGAGCCGTGGTCATGTACTGGTTCATGTGGACCTGTAGCCTGACAGCTATGATGTTCCCTTGTGAGGGTCTTTCATGATCAGCGCTGTCCTTCCTTGTGTTAGCCAGTCTGAGGGGTAACCTGTTGCTAGCAGCTGGTTCATCTGCTCCACCACTGGGCACCGGTGTTATGTGTCTTCTATTACTGCCACATGTTAGTGAAGTACTGTTGGTCTCTGGTTTTGGTGATTCTGCTCTTAGTGTGTTACTACACGGCAGCTAGGAGTACACCTTATGTTACGTCTATGACCCGGGCCGCCCCATGTACCTCGGTAGCAGGCACAGGTAGTTCCAGCAGCTCCGCCCCCGCACAGGTGAGGGTGCATTCCAGGCGACGAGGCACACCTGCTCTCCATTATCGGAGCAGTATATAAGGTCAGCGTTGGTGCGTCCTCGTCGCCAGATTATTATGTGTTATCCTGTTGGTAACTACTTTTCATGTTCATGTCAGGGCCTCAGGTTTATGGACCGTTGTTTGATCTGCGCTCCTTTCGCAACTGTTATTGCGCATTGTTTTGTTGTATCGGTTTTCATGCCCTTCTCACGTTAAAAGGAGGTTTTGGTTTTTGGACAGCTTTTTGTGAATTGCTCCTCCTCTCAGAGCTCCAAGGCAATCCTGGGACAGCGCCACCATCTTACGTCGCACCGCTCAGCTACCAGCGCTGCCTCATCAGGGGACCCACACACCGAACCCGAGATCTCTGGCACCAGTCTCCCCCTCCCTGGACTACTCCCTGGGCCTGCGGCGCACTCAGCTGTTCAGGTCCCCAGAGTGACTACCAGAAACAATCTATACCATACCTGCTGCTTGTTCTTAAATTCTCTCTCTGTTCTTATTTAGCGAGCAACGCCTCTCATTCACCCCGGGAGACAGTAGTCCAGTCAACTCAGTGTGCCCAGCTGCCCCAAGATCAGCGGACGAGACCGGCTCTGTTTTGTTTGTTTTCGTGGAGCATTAAATACGTTTTTCTTGTCTAGCCTGGGTTCAAATCTGCATATTTACTGGGTCCTAAACAACTCACACACAGCTCGCCGTAACACCTTAGCTGTTTCTTTGGAGAACAAGGTGTTTACCCTTTTGGCCTCTGCCTCTTTGATATACAGTATCTCCTTAGTCTAGTTGCCAGTGCTGTGAGCTTAAAAAAAAATTAAAAAGCACACGTATGTGTGTGGACGTGTTTTTCCTGCTACGTGGGGACTTCTTCCTGACTCCATACCAACTCATGAGGACCCATTTCACGGTGGGGACCTAAATTGAGGTCCCCATGGGCAAGAAATTGAATTTTAGGGTGGCAACATGGTTTAGGGTTAGGATGAGGTTAGGGTTAGGGTTAGGTTAAGGTTAGGGTTAGGCAAGTAGTGGTTCTGGTTAAGGTTAGGGTTAGTCTACAGGAAATGCATGTATGTCAATGTAAAGTCCCCATGGACTACGAAACATAAAGTGTGTGTGTGTGTGTGTGTGTGTGTGTGTGTGTGTGTGTGTGTGTGTGTGTGTGTGCTCCCATATTTTTGAGTATGTGCACTGTAGTCAGTTAGGCTTTCTCAAAACAAATACTATGCGTAGTATGGCGTTGAAAACTGGGGAAACACAAAAGTTCACTTCAATCATTGTACATATTACAGAAAAGAGCGATTAGAATTGTGCACAAGATGGGGTATAGGGATCACACAAAGGTAGTTTTCATACAGTCTAAATTGTTAAAATTCTTTGATTTAGTGGAATATAAGACCGCTGTGTTTATGTATAAAGCCAGGAATGACTTATTACCTGGTGGAATCCAAAAGTTATTTGATGAAAGGGAAAGGGGTATATAATGTAAGGGGTCAGTTAAATCTAAAAGTTCATGCTATATGTACAACCAAAAAAATATTTTGCATTTCTATAAGTGGGGTCAAATTATGGAATAGTTTAATTGTGGACATGAAAAACAGTACTATACTCACGTTTTCATCTTTTATGTACTAAAAATCCAAAAGTTAGTAGACCATTGTATTCAGACTCAGTGCAATTAAGCTCCAAGTTTGGGATGCTGAAAAAGAGACAATTGTTGTGTCATTAACAACCAGCATCTGGCTCATAATGTTTGCACAATCTTAAAATATAATAAACTCAGATGATCCTATAGCGCAGAGAATATCCTCAACATCCTTAACACAAATATCATTTTACACAGTATAAACATCATACATGTATGTACATACATTATTTGATAAATAGTCAACTTCTATACTGAAACTACTAAAGCAACTGACATGACACTTACACAGAGCTGATTTGTGGGCCTGCTGTTTCACACCCAACTAGCAAAATGGGGTTTAATCAGAACAAAACCAAAGCAACAAAATAGGTTCTCAAAGAAATATATTGTACTGTCTGTGGTAGTAGCAGTGTAGTCCAATTACACACCAAGCAAAATAACACTCTACTGCTGCTTTTTAGACTCATAATCAACTACTAACCATCAGAATCATGTTAAAGACCTGGCAAACCACACAGCTGAAGTGATATCACAGGATGTGGCACATACTTGGATCTGATCCCTACAGATGGCAATTTTGGATCCATGGGTGGCAGCAATATCATTAACTGTGTAGGCTTTCATGTGGCACAAAATGCACTGTAATCTGCAAATGCTTGCACTTTGAACTTCAACATCCTGTAACATTACTTCTACATTTCCTTTTCCAGAGCTGCTATTTAAGGCTCTTTACAGCTTTGAGCTCTCATTTTGGAAGACATAATATCTGCATCCATAACCAAACTGGAGGACAGTGACTGATTGGTCATTGCTTTTTCACTGTTGTCAGTTTTATGAGGCTTTTACGCTCAGCTTTGAGACTTAGATAAAAGGATCCCTAAAGAAAATGTCCCTGATTCTTCTCAATTAGAACATGCACTCCATTAGAGCAGTCAAGATCCAGGGTCCTACCTGATATGTGCAGAGCCAAGGCACCTCCAGGTTTTCAAAATGCATGAGCTTTTCCTCTGTGCCCTTTGCTCTATAATCAGTTTAGTCAGACTGCAGCGCAGTTTAAAATCTGCGCTGCAAACTCCTGCTGCCCTGCTTCACACCATGCCTGATAAATGCTGATGCCCTTCTGGTGTGTCAAACAACTGCACCGGCCTCTCTGCATGAGATTATAGCTCTGACATTGCCGCTGCTACCCAGCAGCATCTTATCACAGACAAATGCCTACTCTATCTCCTTTTTACATGAACATTATGTGAAGTAAAGTCCTAGATAAGTTTGTCAAGCCACAGCAAATCAACTCGGATGCTCCGGTGAGTGCGTCTCCACAGCACCACCTGAATCTGTGTTCTACTTGTACCCTTTATGAAAATTATGCAAAAGATAGAATTTTACATCCATTATCTTTTTTGAACTGTGATCCCTATAATGTTAGAAGTTATAAAATCTGGGGAGTGTAACTCACTAAACTTCTATGCCCAGCTGATGAGCCAAAGGAAGAACTGACCTGGAAGATAGTAAATCATAATTTCAGTTTAACAGTTAGAAGGATCCATATTATTTAAAGTATTTTGTGTAATCAACACAGCTCCAAACGTTAGGAATCAGCCACATATTTTGCTCCAAATCAGACAAAGATTAACTTACAAATGTTATTTTTAAATGCTAAAATACTCAGTGGCTTTCGATGTCAGCATGCGACCTAATATTTTGAAGCCAAAGCCACTAAAATTAGTAGCAAAGCAAAGAAACTCTCATCTAAAACCTTCAGCCAAATGGAAAAATCTTTTCTGATGTAAACATCAAATGGATAATGACTACAAATCTCCTCTAAAATGATCAGCAAAGACCACTGGACACGGGCCCACATCTCCCTGAGAACATCCCTGGAGAGATTTTATTTTCCTTTTATCTGGTTTGGATCCAATCAATTCTGCGAAAGAAATGTTTTTAAAAAAACGGTTGAGGTTTTGATGATATCTGTGTCTGAGCTAGCGGCCTAAGTACAGCATGTATTTGTACAGAGTGTAGCTACAGTATGTCAGAGCAGAGTCCCCTCATGATACATTAGGTCTATCACAGTTTTTATTCACATAAGAAGATGATAAGGTCAAAGCTTTTTGAATGTATTAGAACATCTGTCACAGCAGGGATCTGTCATGTATAAAAGTATGTAGCACAAAGTAATGAGACATCACTTAAACACTTGAGTATAGGTGTTATACTAAAAGCTCCATCCACAAGGAGCAGTTGAGATAACTACCAGTGACTGGGCTCACTAGAATAATAGACTGGATAACATTTTCATCCATCAGCATAAGATGGCATATTGTTATTGCTCTTTATTAAAGAAACTGAGTCCTTTCTGTTGTATTTACAACTGCTCAAAACTCCACAGGCAGCCTCTAATCACTGACTTCATCTGCGTCACGCTGTTACATTTTTAGTAACGTCTCTTGCCATTACACATTGATTAAGCTTGACAGTCGTGCTGAAATATTAAATGTTTGTCCCAGGAGATCAGTGTTGTTTACCGATGGTAGCAGCGGCTCTACCTGAGCACTGGAGTCCGCAGTGTCCGTCATGTCCCCCCCTCAGCACTTCACCGTAAACAGGGAGATGGCGTGGAGACCTGGGTCGTGTATAATCCCGTCAGGTGTAGCGGTGACTGAGCGACCACACGGCGGTCACATGTTTAAATCATCGTCGGTCAGCAGCTCGGAGATGGTTAGCGCGTCTCGGTGTCCTCCTTCATAAAAACATGCGCATCTCTGACGTGAACGCTTCCTTTCTTGTGGTGTGTGGCGTTTGTTTCAGGCACAGATGAGAATGAAATCCGAACAGAGACCACTGACAAAAACACATCAGTGAAATCAGCAGAGACGATGTTTCTCCCCCACAGATGAGGTGTGTTATGTGATTATTGCAGCTTATTTTGGTTTTTATTAGATGCTGGCTCAGTGGGCCACAGGCTTTTACTCCTGGGGGCTGTTTTAGCTGTTTTAGCAGGAAAAAAAAGCTGCAGCCACTCTCTGTTTATATCTCACTCATAGTTAATGGAAATGAAATCCAAAAACTAGGTAAGAAATTCATCAAGTGCAAATTTGTGTTAAAATCATCTTGTCAGTCGCTTAATGATTTGCATGATTTTTATGCTATTTACAAATTCTCTGGCCATAATGACAGTGAGACAACATGTCTGTTCCATCAAATGTAAGACTTGGATGTCTCTGGCACGGCTGCTTTCCTAAGTCCTCCGTAGCATCTCGTAACCTTTAAATAAACTTGAGATGGAAGGTGGGTCTGTGTAGCAGATGTATTGCTGCTAAAGCAAGCCATATGCAGCAAATCTCTGTTAATAAAAATAATGAAACTCGTAGCAAACTCACGCACCAAGGGATTAATGCCAAATTCGCAGATGGGAAGTGATTTTATCATTTTAAAGAAGAGTGTGAGAGGGACATTTTCTCTGTTTTATGGTTTTAAGTGATGAAGCAGTGAGCACAAGGACGTGCTTTACTACAATAACACTGACATTAGAAGAAGGTCTAAACTGAAATTCTCACTTTTCCTCCCAGAGCCAAAGGCTGTGACTGGGTTCCTAGCACATTTCCACCTCCACTTCTCCACAAATTTGCAGTGTTTCTCCCACAAATGGTTGTTTAAAGACTCCATCAGGAGGAAAGTTGCATTACTGAACTTGAGGATGAACCACCCATACAACAGTTTAGGAGGGGTGTGGTATTGTAAGCTCTTGTAAGTTTTATCTATTTATCGTTGTGTTTACACGCCATGTTTATGTGTTCATAGGAGGCTGGGGACTGCTGCTGAAGCGCATTTGGCACTGCTGTTTTCAGTCCTAGGGATCCTTTTAATAACAGTAAAGCACCGCCATCTGGTGTAGATCACAACCCTTGTGAGTTGAATGCAGAGGAAAACCGCAGTAAGGGTCTTTAATTGAGTCACACATGGAAGTTCGTTTATTAATAAATAGTGATTCAAAAGAAACCGTGCGCAGCACATCTCTCATAGCTGCCCCTGAACTGTGCAGACCCCCGAGAGCTCAGAGCCACAAACCGAGGAGCTGTTTGATTACAAGACCTGCATTCATTTATCGCCATCTGCTGTTTATCCCTGGGAAGGTCTATCACCGACTGAGAGAGACGACGTTAACGCGCGCGCGCACACGCACACACACACACACACACAGGCTTTATGACAATTTAAATGCCACACCTCTTACTGACAGCTGTGTGCATCTCCTTCACACGCACAGTGAGTTTATTACGCGTACGTTGGTCTTATATATACATTCCCAACTTCATTCATTTGGTATTTGTGTAATTTTAGTTCAAATGAAGTTAAGAATCCGATAATGAAGGCACAACTCATTCGATTGGCAATTAACAACCAGCCTCCAATCAATTACACGTAAAAAAGAATGTTTACTTTCACCACATATTTTGGAAAGTCACGTGATGTGAGGTGTGTCCTGTGGGTTGTTTTGGCCCTTTGCTCATTTTCACACAGGCAAGACCTGCTTCTGATGTGTCTCTTCCTTTGGATGCCGAACAGGAAACTTGTGAGTTTCACAGTTTTTCTGTTTCTCAACTATGACAAAATAAAAGTTTTCACCATCCTAAATTTCTTGGCAAACTGTGTAAATGGAAAAGTGGCTGCAACCAATTTTTATTTTTTTATTTTTTTTGCCTGTGCCGTTTTTATCATGAAAAGGTCTTTCAGTAAACGGACCTTTGAAACTTCATTTTTGTTTTTTTGTTTTTTGTTAGCTTGTTTGTTTATGTTATAAACGTATGAATTTTGATTTTTATTTTTGGAAAGACGCTCCACGTGATGCATTTGTAAATAAAACATCTTTGTCCAATAAAGCATTTCTTACTTATTCTGATGATAACATCATTTATTATGTTTCAGTCACATTACAGCAGATACAGAGATTTTCACAACAGCATAGTATACAGGCTATGAAAAATAACCGGCTGAAACCAACAATAAAAAAATGACCCTAAGTCTACATTACCAACATTTACATCTTCTTTAACCACATGTATCATGATCGGTAACGTCATAAACTTTTGGTAGCCTACAGCTTTGATAAAGTACAAAATACATTTTCCCACTGACAGGTATTATTATGCCAGTATATGCTACACAAGGACATTTCATGTACATAATATCTTTTTTTTTCACTAACAGTTTAGGCTACTTAACAGAAGAGGGTTCGCTTGTCAAAGCACTACTTATGAATCGGATTTCATCTATTTCGGTGTACATCCAATCACATCACCAAATGTTCAGTATTATGCACATTATATTCATAATTACAGTGGTTTGACTTAACAGCGTGGAAAGACTTCGTCCCACCCATGGCAGGACCGGGTAGTCAGTAGTGGACGTATTTACACCTTGGGCATTAACTGTGGTGGTGGAGTCCTCATTTTTTCATTATTATAGATAGATAGATGGATAGATAGATAGATAGATAGATAGATAGATAGATAGATAGATAGATAGATAGGTGTCGTTCACCTTTTCTTTAACTGTGAGGATAAAAACTGTAATAACCAATGTCCTTTGTGCAGTTCTTCTCACACTCTCTCGGTGCCAGCAGCTCAGATTTTAACGGGGACACTGTCTCTGAAACCGGCGTGGCAGAAGGTGAGATTCTTCTCCTTTTGGCCTGTTCAAAAATACCGGAATCGCTTGAATCGATTGATTTAATGGAGGAGGGCGTTTCTATCCAGCTCGACTCTGATGTCATGTCTTTGGGTTTGGTCTCCTCCGAGACGCCGATCGGTGACCTCTCTGTCGTGATGGAGTCACCCTCCTCGGCCAGGTAGTTGGTGGCCGCTCTGCTGCCGATTGAGTTGGCGGGCCAGCAAGAAAAGACCGAGCTAGATTTGCTATTTACGCCGCAGTATTGCGGCGGCGTGCGTCCTCCCCAGCCTGATGGGTCTGCGTAATAGCCAAGAGGCCGGTTGGAGCAGCCTGCAGTCGGCAGGGGAAGAGCCTTCACTCCGGCCGCTGCGTAGGACAGTAAGGTGGCTGCGTTACCGGCGAAATCAGCGGCGTCGTATGCCGAGGCAGCAAAGTCCAGTCGGTTGTTGGCAGGGGTGACAAACCATCGCTGCGGGGGGGTGGCAACAGTGGGCTCCTCGGTTTGCTGCGGGGATAGCAAGCTGTTGCCGAGTGGGACGCTGCGCTCCGTGCCAGGACCAGTCCCCACGCCAGGGTGAAAGCGAGATTTGGCATAAGTGCTGACAAATTGGTCCTGCAGGAAAGAGCTAGGCATGGCATATCTCGCACCCGGCACGATCTGTGAACGCGGAGAGTCACCCGGTGATGGAGTTAGGCGGTCAATGTCGCAGCCTGTGTAGACACTGAAAAGATGGAGAGAAAAACAGAAACAAATCATAAACTAATCTGTGCGCCTTAGCCGGTCATCTAAGAATCAAAGTAATGTTGGGACAGTATCACCAGTTCATTTCTTTAGTATGGAACATCACATGTCGTACGAGAGAAGATCTGAATCTGAATTTTACGGATCACTAATACAATCGCTTGTCACTTATTTGAAGTGCAAAAACCCGAATCTACACGAATTAATCGACCACAACGAAACCACAATCAAAATGAATGTTCATTTTTTGTCAGGCATTTACATGACACTTGTGTCTGTTAAACTGTTGCAGTGAAGACAAAATAGATTTTTTATTATTATTATTTTATTGGCCCTCTACAATTTGGATAACGATACAGTAAATACTCAGCAGGACTACAGCCTGATAATAAATTCAGAATAGTTTCTTCAATTACAGCAGCATGCAATAAAACACACAATAATTGAAACACTTCAAATTAAATAATAATAAAGACTTACGTGTCATAGTTGTCCCGAAATCCTTTAGCAAACGGATTGTGGTCAATTTTCAGTTGTGTAATCTGTGGGAAAAAGTGGAGGACAAAGATCAGAGCGCAGCACAGGGTCAAAATATATAATATTTTTAATTCAGTGTGGAAGTGTGGAGTCTTCCTCTGTGTGTGTGTGTGTGTGTGTGTGTGTGTGTGTGTGTGTGTGTGTGTGT